ATATACATGAGTATATTATATACATGAGTATATTATATACATGAGTATATTATATACATGAGTATATTATATACATGAGTATATTACGTTGAAAAATTATATGAAACATCATAATTCAGCTGTATAAAAAAAAGACTTGGACGAAGATTCGAAATCCAGGTAAGCACAGGATTTCGAATCTTCGTCCAAGGGATTTGTATTTGTATATAATAATAACGCATAGAAACCTAGTCCGCACACGCTAAGTGAGGCAAATTGAAGCGCTCCCAATGGGCCTACACGAGCGGGCGGGCCGTCAGTGCTCAAGGTCAACTTGCACCGCGAACAGCTCAAGAAATTTAGCTAAAAATGTGAATTGTGCGGTATATGAGTGTAAAAATATGTCAGACAAACAAAATAGATACTAACATCACATTCCACAAGGAAGTAACGCGTTTCAACTTGTATTTTTATATAAATATTCACTAAAACCGAAAATTAACCTACTACTAAAACTAGCCTACATGAATTTGATTTTTGCCTCACTTGTGACAGCTCGTTTGATATGAAACTATCATTCTATGCGTTATTATTCTAAGATTGGGCCATTGAATTGTTTATTCAATTCAGTTGTCCACATTTTTCCTTGTGGCTTTTATACCATACTTTGAAATTGATGCTGTTTTGTGTTCGATTTTCTTAATGATTTCACAGTCATTGAACAGTCATTTCCCATACTGGTATATCTCCTTCTTTTTCCTTCACTGTCGATCGCTGATATAAAATTGAACTATTTTTTAACATTATCCTAGCCAACGCGACCTGCAAGTCTCTTGTTTTCTAAAATTTCCTCCTTAATTTTTTTTTGTTTACCCATTGTGTTTTAAAAAATATTGTTAATTCCATAATAATATTTTGTTATTATAAATTTATACATAAAGCAATTTTTATATATATTTTTTTATTATAAAGCAATTAACAATATTTTTTGAACACTCTAATCATTTAGAAGACTGGTTTGTATCATAATATGTTTGGATATGCTTTATACTGCCACGAAATAGTATATAATAATTAAAACTCTTTAATATTTTCATACTACGGTAATTAGATAACTTACGTCAATTTATACTACGGTACTTAGAACACTGCCCATTTCCTTAAAAATTTCATAAAATGGAAGAGTTGGAAAATACTCGAATATCGTAATACACAAAGGCCCCTTAACTCTTTTATTTCAATAAGCGACATTTCTTTAAAAAACGTAATTTACGAATAGAGGAATTAGACAATTTTAAAACCAAAGTTACCGTAATTAGGTATTTATGTAAATGGCAAGCGGATACGCCGACACTGATACATTCGCACTATTCGAGTGCCAAGACACGGCTGCTAGCTCGCGATACAGGCAATAGTGAATTTAAAACATTTAGTGGTTTAGGGACGAGCACTTTGAAAATGACCGGCGATGGTAATTATACCTTCCGGCCAGACACTCGGAAATTTGATGGTAGTTTTTTAAAGAATGGTAGTCGCGGATTATATTTTATGCTATTACTCGAGCAGTATTTCGCCACTCAGGATTTTAAATGGCACTAGTATAATTCATTCCGGACTAAATATAGAAGTAAATTTGCAGACAAAGGTAGCGTCCGGACAGGCTACGGTAATTCGAGAACATGGGTTTGAAAAATAAAATATGTATGTTAATGATCTAATGAAAAATGAGCTAAAATCTTAAAAATACCTTTAAATAAGAGTGTAAACTACGTAAAAAAATATTTGTGGTTCTGTATAATGCTCGAACATGAAAGGCTCGCACATGAAAAAATTTGCTGTTTTGAGTATGGCCGTTATTATTATTCACTTAGTTGTTTAATCGTTTTTTTTGCTATCAGGTGGTAGGTAAGTCCCTATATAGCATGGGCCCCAACCACTGTCTTTTCAAATCATGTAAACTTGTATGTACCCGATCCCTGCCTAGCAGTGATATACGTATGTGGGTTAGTTCCTTAGTACAATAAATCTTATCTAATTGGTCTTTAATTGAAGTGACACAAAGGTTAACAATATCTTTTTAGTGGCCCAATGAGAATGCCAAAACCACTTGATGAGGAGTACCTGACTCCGCGCGCAATGAAGGCGCATGCGCGATGTATGCGCAAACACTGTATTGCTCTAACTGACCGACTCGAGCGCATGGCCAAACCATCGCGCCGTCAAGTGCTAAGCATGTGGCGCGAACACCACCATTCTCTACCCCCTGAAACGGTTTGTTACTTACTTCTCAGGTTTCAACCAATTAAATTAAGCCATGTGAAATAAATAAAAAAAGATGTAACATAAAAGGTAACACGGTATCAAAATAATGTTTTGTCGTCTCCTTTTTTGCAATCTCATCAAATACTTGGAACAAAGGATCTCTTTTGATAAATAATAAAAAAACTTACTTTATAGATAATTTTACTTTTAATTAGATTGCTCGCCTTCGCGGAATGTTGGATGCAGATGAGCCTTTTAAGCCGGATCAAGCATATCAATATTTTACGAATCTGATGAAGGGGTCAGCAAAGTCCAAAAAGTCCGAAAAGTGAGTTTAACATGTTTACAAGTTAGGATCCTTCAACAAATTCAAAAGAATTAATTTATTCTAATGTCAATACAAGTCTTGAAGATTTTTTCTGCGAAACAAGCACCTCACTTTGATTCTTTGCCTGCATTTATAACGAAACGAAAGTAATTACACAACAATGCCTTAAATAAAGTTCCGCTCATACTTCCACCCTTTCTCAATATCTGTATTTTGGAAATTTACTCGTGAAGAATACTTCTCAGACTCCGATTCATCAATTGAAGAATCTAGCTCGTCAGAGCCTAAGAGCGATACTACACGGGCATTGCGACGACTGACGTTGCGTTGTGACGCTGCGTTGTACTACTTACATATACATCGGAACAACAATAAGCCACACGGTGCGTTGCAACGGTGGCGTGCTACGCAAGGAACTTAGTACTTTGAAATCATAGTGTTGCAACGACGCAACACCCGTCTGGCATCACTCTTAGGGAGGTGCTCTTAGGGAGACCCATATGGCATCGCTCTAATGAAACCTGCCAGGTTCTTCCAAGATCCTTCAGAAAGATTTATCAAAGTGATGGGGAGATAAAATTAGGTTCGCATAGCGAATGCATTGGCGAAACCTTAAGTTCTCTGCTATACTTATTATGAGCTAAACATAATGGACGCTACGTGGCATGGCTACCATATTATAAAAAGATTGCGCGCGGTTAAGAGTTTTTCGAGTAATATGAACGAAACATGAACGAAAGTGTAGAGAGTGATGATTTGCTTTTAGCCCATGCGAGAAGGTAAAGAGAGACTTGATGGCAATGGTCGGGGACCGACGGTTCTCTTGGGCACGTAATGCGACAGTTGCCTTTGCACGCGGCATACAACAGCGACTTTCCAGGCCTGGCAAATATAGATTAGCTGACGGGTATATTTAATTATTATTATTATTATTCATTTATATTACCCAAAATAGATACTAAGTAGGTACTGAAATAATTATGAACAATAACAACCTGAGGAATCATGCGTATCGATATATATAATATATTGACGCTGGTAAAGTAAAACGTGAAACGTGCATTTGCAAAAGCGATATAGGCTCAATTCACACTGGCGCAGAGTCGAAGCGTCGTGTCGCGTCCTGTTTTTCAACTACAACGCATGGCGACGCGCGTCATGAAGCTCGCAATAGCGCGCCGGGATCACAGTGTAGTCGGCGTCTGACGCCTCAATGCGCGCAAGGAACGCACGGCGATGCGCGAAACCGCTCGACGTTAACCAAGCGTCTCGACGCGCGAAGGCGCGTGTCGTCTCGCGTCGGCGTGCGGTTCCATATTTGCATAACACAAATTTGCACCTTAATTATGGGAAAATAGAGATGAATATGCTTTAGGCGAAAAACATGACGCGTCCCAAATATACTATATTCCAAATACACGTTAGACGTTTTACCTTTCCATTTCTAGCGTCGACATGGAACTCACCCAATTTATTGGGCATCACCCGAAACCTTCTTAAAAGAGACACGCGCCCAGCAGTGGACTGATACACAAAAAGTTTACAGGTGCGATAATGATAGTACTTATGTAATTGAGAGCAGTCTAGTGTTTAGGTCCTAAACTCCTGAACGAATGTTAAGTCAGCGATCGCATATTGATTTAATCAGGAAAATAAGCAAAATAACTTTTTTGCTAGCCCTTAAAGTTATAATCAATGGTCGGAATAGGCTGTTCCAAATGAGTACATAAATATCTACATTATAGATACTAAGAGCGACATACAGTGATTAAAACCAAATATGACTTACCGGAGATGAGGTTGGCGCCGAGGTTGTTCTCAATTTCATGAATTTAAAAGTAAGTATCTATATGATCCTCATTACAACCTCATTGCAACAAGATTTTGCTTGTAGCTCATGAAAAAATGCTTTGGTGAAAGGTTAGTTATCTACTGCGTTTTACGGGACGTCACTAGAATTATTTTAAAACCAAATTTTAGCTTTCTAATTGAGTAATTTTATTCTACGATGCATTAAAATGTTTCTAGAAATCCGGAACTCGATATATTTGTGGTTTTAACCACTTCATATCACTCTTTGTATCTATATGTAGATATATCTCTACTCATTTAATAATAAAGCTATTAAATGAGTAGAGAAAAGTAGCTACAATAAAACATGTAATACGAAACGACTAGTTACCACTAACTTTTCATTATTCCCTTCAGAATGTTGCGATTGTCTGACATTATACTTTATGAAATATGCTGCTACATGAATTTAAAAACGCCTTCTCGCCGTTCCTCTAATCCTAAGGCTAAATTTATGGTGGAGATGGCTGACAAGGTGTGTATATAAATAATTTTTTTACCAAATCAGAATTGCCGAAACTCAAATACACATGTAGGCAGAGGTTTCAATAATAAGTATAGTTATACTTTATGTCATTTAATATGACGATAGCGGTCATTGACCCGACTTTTATTGCGAAGTCACAATTCGAAAACGACTGCCGATCACCATAAGCGCAGGCCACACCGTGAACGAAGCTAAGCTAACTTAGCTTAGATCACGTAGCCGGGGCACGTATTCATGCTTTAAGTTCACACCGCAAACTAAGCCAACCGAACTAACTAAACTAACCCAACGATCCCGCTAAGCTATGTAAAATATTATGTCGCCCTTCTACGCCCTTCACTCCAGCACGTATCCATAGTGTCCACGTCACTACTTACTACGTTTGACAACGAAAATATTCACGCCATTCTTGTATCCGAAACATTTTTAAATCCTTGTCTTGCTTCCAGTTCTTTCTGTTTCCCAGGTTTCCAACTGATTGCAACGACCATACTAGTTCCTTTTACGGTGAGCTAGCTATTTATCTTTGTAGCCATATTCCTTTTGCAATCCTCAGTACTTCTCAACCCCCTCCAGCCAATACTGCAGAACATCTGTTAGAACTAACTTTATCCCATCATAAGCTACTTCTGGGAGTTTACCCATCTCTAAGGATTGACTACTTCTCCACTCTTGAAAAGCTTCTCTTATAAATTCCTCTGACTTACATATTCCTCCATCTAATCTACGTCACATCCACAAATCCATCGAAAATGGTAACCCCACTAAAATTCGGAATTTTCTTAAGTAATAATTCTTCTTTAAATCTGAACCTCAATAACTTGATAATCATTTTTCATCTGCGCCTGTCTTTGTTCAGTCAAGAGCAACACCTTGCAATATCTTATTTCATTGCCTACTCCTGACTGTTCCTCCTTTGTTCGTAATCAATTTACTGACTGTGATGTTAAAAAAAAGTTTTAGTTATCGCCTCCAATGCTGTAGGTAGTGATTGCATTAGTTGTAATATGATTTCCTCTCCTCGATCTCCTCACTCCCGTCATTACCAAAATCCCATAATAAATCTGTCTCTACCTGTGTTTTCCCCTCTGCCTAGAAAGACGCTTATGTCTACTACCACAAAAAAACAAACCAAGCACCCACCACTACACAGACTACCGTCCTATTTCAATCCTTCCTTTCCTGTCGAAAGTCCTAGAAAAGCTAATACACTATCAGTTGACTAATTTCCTAAACAGGAACAACCTTTTCAATCCTCATCAGTCCGATTTCCGCATTGGCCATAAGTACCACTACTGCACTCAGGAAAATCACTGATAACATCCGTTTGGGTATGGAAAATCAACAATTGACTGTGCTGACACCCTTGACTTCAGTAATGCGTTCAATTGAGTTGACTTTGACTTATTATTGGAAGTATTGCGTTCTCTTAACATATCTCCAGCAATTATTTATTGGTCTCGAAGCTACTTCTGTGGAGGGCAGCAGTGTGTACGTAATGAAAATTCTTTCTCTACGTGGTGCGATATCTCTGCCGAAGTTCCGCAGCGTAACGTCCTTTCTCCTGTCATATTTTATTTGTTTATTAATTCTGTTACACACTCTGTTACTTCTTCCTATCATCTATGCTAATGACTTCCAAATTTTCACCGTACCTACCCAGGATGCTGCGAGTGGCCATTGAAATTAAAAAGCATCCTAATTTCAACAGGGAAGATGGTTTCTTCGTAACAACAGTTTGGGATCCAGTATTTCCTCTGATGAAAAATCCCAAACCGACATAAGACTGCAGTACTAATTTTATGTTTTAATTTATTCTAATTTTCATTATTAATTAATAATAAATTTAACATAATGAAAATTCATATTGTTGTTAGTGTTTGTAAAACATAATGTAGCGTAAATTGGAATGTTTCTTTGTAAAATTAAAAATAAAGTATTGAAATAATAACTTTTTGTAACTATAGTTAAAAAATAGGGTGGTTTACATTAATATTAGACATAACTGGTTGATGACTGTACCACCTCAGTCAACCGTGACCACGGGACCTGTAAAGGGCCCGAAACGAGTTTCATTTCCTATGGGTAACAATCGCGAAAATCTAAGAAATCGATGTTTCATGCACAACTTAAATGGTTGCCCATCCACCAGCGTAGAAATCTTATTAAGAATATTTCATTCATTCATTCATAAGTATTTTCTTAGCTTAACTTTGCACGCAACAACGTGAACTAAGCTAGGTTAGCTTAGCTTCGTTCGCGGTGTGGCCTGCATTTGATATCTCTCGCAATGTTGGCATCTCTTGAGTAACCTAACCAAAGTCCATTAACTTAAAAAAAATTAAAATTGAGGCATATTATGACTGTGACTTATATGTTGTTAATATCAGGTTTTTATTAGTGTGATTGTAATTATATATTATTTTAATGGTACACATGATTTTAGTGAAAATTAACAATATAAATTACGTTATAATGATATACCACTTCACATTAAAACTAATACTTATTTAAAACTCAGCGTAAGCACTAATGACCATGATTCACTTTCTTTAATCCATTTAACATCCGTAAAAATACTGCCGTCTCTAAAAAAGACAATTTTTAACTTTTTCCCCTTCTCTTTTTACCTACTTTTAACGCTAGAAGCAGCCTTTTTGTTTTAATACTTACATCTATCAAACGTACCGTCGGCTAAATTTGAAAACGTCGCAACCCCGTTTTTGAACAAAATCCCTTTTTTACACTTCAAGCGCAAAATTTTGATTTTAAAGCAGAATGTAATTTGTAGTCCCTCTTTTTGTTATAAAATAAAGGTAAATAGCTATTATAGATTGTCATATTAATATTTCTAGTAATTCTGTTTTTTTCTGTTTTTAGGTTATGAAGTTTACAAATTTAGCCGACAATACTATGTCGGAATACGCTTGACCGAACGTTCAAGTCGAAATATTCACCTTTTAAGGGTGTTGTTTTGTTAATTCATTTTATTAATTTTGGTATATTTCTTTTATTAATTTGTTTCCTTACATTTTTCCACAAATAAATTATAGATATGAAGACTCGGATCAAATTTTGAAAGTGACGGTTCTGTTTGGTATTTATACAATTACTTTTTTACTGTAGGTATGTTTGAAAAATAAAGGCTAAATATGTGATTAATAATGCTTGACTTCTATCAAACTGTTAGGTCATATGTACCTACATACGTCAAGGTGACTTCTACTACGAAACGATAATACTGCCGCCCTTAGTTAAAAGGGCGCTTGTGACAAAAAGTCAAATCCAAGAAAATAATGTTCAAAGAAAAACAAATTAAAATTGTCTACTGTCGCCAAATTAAAAGACAAAGACACTGGCTGCAAACGCAATATAATAGGTTTACATTATATGCATAATGTAAAAATAAAATATTTAATTGTTTATGCTGAATTATCAAATTATTAACCTTTTTCCTTTTCATCTTAGTAAAAAAATGTTCGTAAAATACTCAATACTAGGGTAGTTGGTTGTGGTTGTGGACGCATGTAACACATGTGGTTGCATGCGTCTTTTTAATTTCGTAGTAAGGTACGTTACAGATTTTTATTACTTAGATGAAAGGTAATGTTTCTTCTTTATTTTAAATGTGTGGGCATAGATTGTACTGTCATCTTATTTTAAAATAGTTTTCTGCATGTTGATTTTAACTGAGGTTATGGCTAACAAAACATAAATAAAACACTAACTAAAAATGAGAAAAATTATCAGTTTTTATTAAAAAATCGTATAATTGATAACAATTGAACTGAATCGTCTGTTGAAAACGTCGTTGTCAGTGTGGTCCTGCTCCTGCTGCAGTAGCTAAGTAGAGTTCCTATCGCTCGTTCTTTTTATAGCACGTTGCCTAGAATTATGTTGCTTTCTCCGCTACGTACATTATTACACTGAATGTTAACGAGATTTTCTGCTCCTGATATGCTATCATTGATAGCAGTACAAAATTCAGGGTTGATTTCGATTGTTAAGGGATCTTGAATTGACTTATTAGGTATTGTTAAACTTTTCAGTATTGTTAAAATTTATGTCAGGCATGGACGATTTTTCGAACGTCTCCGTATTGTCATCACATCAAAGCAGTTTCCAACTGCTTCCTTCTCTGAATTTATCAAGCTTTCTTGAGTATTGGTCTTGATTGTTTAATGCCTTAGAAAGTAATATGAAACCACGAAACCGTTTCATATTTCTTGACTGCAACAATATTATATAATATATATGTAAATATTGTATAGGATAAATAAATAATTATTATGAACTGTACCAACCAAAGAAAACTCTTTGGGTAATAAGGACCTTATTTACTACTATATGTATATAATCACATCAATACATTTAGTTATATTATTTCAAAAAGGGTCCACTAAAAACCAGCGCTGTGGCTCCGCAGCAGTATTTGCTGAGTTGGGCCCTTTGCAGTGCAATACACGATAAGCATAAAATCATTCTTTCGGCGGTTTAGGACCACAATGAGAAATGACCATATCTTCAAATAACCACTTCTGAAATTGAGCATTTCTTGAATTGACCATTTCTTGAATTTCTTTAATTACGTTTATAATAAACCAATTTATAATAAAAAAATAAAAATGATCATTTCAAGAAGTGGTCAAATACAAGAAATGGTCAATTTCAGAAGTGGTCCTTTTAGATTGTGGTCCTAAACCGCCGAAAGGAAAATCATATTGTACAAGTACAACATAACATGTGTTTGTGCTGAATTTTTTTTTCTTTCTTTCTTTATTTCCTTCTTTCTATATTGCTGTACATATTAAATACTTATTTTAATAATTAAATATTTTCTACTGATATCTAGTAATATCTACGAGTACCTAGATACATAGAAAATATTTCCCAAACTAGAACAAAATACTTATACAATACGTGATTTCAAATTGTTGTGTTGTTTATCCGCTCACGCGATTCATGCGTCTCTGGAAGCATACCACACCTAGAGTTGCGCGGTGATGATTTTATACCGATTTATCGGATATCGAAGTTATAACAGGTAAAAGAACTAATACTAATTGCTATTTCGTTAACTAATCTAGCAAACCATAAAGTTTTTAATGTCTGGGTCTGTCATTTAAAAAAAATAAATAACTCAAAAATACGTCACGACAATCGTGTGTGTATTGTTTGGGCTGGTGATGTCAGTGTTTATTTATTGAAAACATACCGTAAGTTGCGTTTTTTAAGTTTACCCTGAATATAAATGTTTATAAACTATACTTTAAGGAGTAACTTCATGGTAAACATTAGAACCACTCAAACGGAATATTATCATATTTACCTACCCAAATACACCAAAAATGTTATTAGTGCTTTTTAAGTGCAGGATTTGCGGTGTATTACTGCATTTTATTTGAGATGTTTTTGTTGTAGTACGGAGGGTATTTATTTAGTAATGCAGATTATAACTTTTATTTTTAAAAACTTGTATTTAAACTGAATCCTTTTCTAATTTGCGAAACCAAATAGCCGCCATTTTGCGGTAGGAGGAGCGCATCGCGTGAGCGGCTATTTCATGACATGAATTAAACACTGTTTAGAAACAGACTTTCAAGAATGTAAATACATAAATTGTACAAAACACAAAACTCGCACTTACTTTACGTAAATTGCGCATAAGCTAACTCGCGTGCAGGGCACAACTGAACGAATATCAATGCGTCCCTCCCCGTATGGGACACCCCGGTTTCTCCTAAAGTGCTAAAAAGGAAGGGCGCTTGCGTGTACTTGCGTCCTTGCAACGTAGTGTTACCATGAAAATTATCTAACTTAATGCAAAAATAGATGCTAACACCACATGGGTCCTAGAAACTAGCAGAAATACTTGATTGAAAAGGCGCATGTGGTCATTAGCAAAGTCAAAGTCAAAGTCAAAGATTATTTATTCCATAGGTAAAATAAATTTACACTTGAAAACGTCACATTTAAGCTACTGCTCGTTCACTACGCTGACCTCCCTGAGAAGAACGAGCAAGAAACTCTAGGGATTGCTCTTTTCAAATAAACTTAAATGCTATGGAATACACTTTGAATTAAATTTGTGTGGATTCTGGAGCCATGTCGTCTTTCCATACATCTTTATCTAACACGTAGTCTTCAATTTTGTAATATGATTTTTCGATCAAAATATTTTTAATGTAGTTTTTAAACTTAGGAAATGATAAACTTAATATATGCTCCGGAATCTTATTGTAAAAACGTATACAGTTCCCCATAAAAGAGTTGTTTACCTTGGTTAAACGAAATCGTGGTACCATGAGTTTGGACTTAGCTCTAAGGTTAATATTATGGATATCTTCTTTCTTATTGAAATTATGTATATTTTTACGGGCATATAAAATATTTGAGTAAATGAACTGTGATGCCACAGTCATGATACCAGTCTCCTTAAACTTTTCTCTGAGAGATACCCGAGAGCCTAGACGGTACACAGAACGAATCGCTCGTTTTTGCAATACAAATATGGTTTGAATATCTGCCGCTTTACCCCACATGAGAATCCCGTAGGACATTATACTATGGAAGTAACTAAAGTAAACTAGTCTAGCAGTACTAACATCGGTAAGCTCACGTATTCTGCGGACTGCGTATGCCGCGGAGCTTAATCTGCTGGCCAGGAACGATATATGTGGAAACCACTGAAGTTTACTATCTAAGGTCACTCCCAAGAAAACTGCTTTATTAACAAGGTCTAACTTTTTTATAGCGCCCTTTCTATTTAGTCATAATGGCAGATGCGTCCAAGTCACCATAGTAATAACAAGCGTGTGCTAAGTCAAAAGGCCACAAGTGGTTACTTACGTCCCTTCAACTACGAATTTAGAATTAGAATATGACTTGCGTCTTTTCGTTTTCTTAACCGATTGAAATGTGTTAAATCGATGTGGCGTATATACGCAATTACGCCTTTTCAATTACTTTTCACAAAGTTGTTTTGTAAATACGTCCATTTATCTTAGGTCGATCATAAAAGTGTGGGTACTTCCGCCCTTTTCTTTTACGGTAACTCCATACCTAATCCACACAGGAAAAAAGTAAAAAGAGTGGCAGATTTGATACTATTTCCTGATCACGGCAGTATATGACACTCATTTTTGGCAAAAATGTCACATGCGGCCTTTTAACTAAGGACCGGCATAATAATACTCTCGCCGCTATTGCAAACATAAGAGAGAATCGTTTTCACAAATAGCGAGTACAGTGGTAGGAAGTGTTGAATGATTTCTCGCAATTGGCATGCTAAATGGCACTTACGATAGTTGTTTCTGATTCGTCAAAGGTTGCGCTAATATAAACTACTCAAAACAATTTAGGGCCCACTCGAATATTACCGAGAATTTGACTGTATTTTTTTTTGCCTGCTGCTTTGTAAATTTAAGTGGATAATCTTCAATTGCATAATGTTTACAGATTGTTTAACGTTCGGAATGTTAAGTTTGGTGTTAAGGTGGTTCTTAAGTGGGTAGACGAAAAAAATAAAAATGAGTAAATTTCGCATATTACGCACTTTTCTAATCACTTGTGTTCTGCATCCCATAGCAAACACAGGTTGAAATCGGACCGGTGTTTATAATTTGTTTCGGTGTTTGCGCTTTGTCTACAATAACAATGTCTGGAATTCGACGCCATATGGACCCGGAAACCGCTTACAGAGCAGTAGTTTTGCTTCAAGAAGGCAATTCACAGAGATCAGTAGCTTTAAGCCTCGGTGTGTCTCGGCATGCGATTCGAAATGTTTGGAAGCGTTATCAGGAGACCGGTAGTGTTACTAGACGACAAGGTGGAGGCAGAACTCGGTCCACCACCTCCCATGAAGATCGGTACATTCGACTTACTGCACGTAGAGAGCGCACCGTGACTGCGCGTACCTTACAAAATCGCTTACGTGAAGCTACTGGCACCCGAGTGAGTGATCAAACGATACGAAACAGGCTCCATGAAGACCAACAACACTCCAGAATGCGTGCTGTACGACGGAAATTGAGCAGGGCACATCGTGCAGCGCGTTTAAGATTTGCACGTGAACATCTCGAATGGACCATGGACAACTGGAGGACAGTGCTCTTTACAGATGAATGTAAAGTTAAGTTTTACAGTGATGACAGACGGGTACGTGACTGGAGGAAACCAGGAGAACGTTTTTTGGATCCCTGCATTCGAGAAACTGACCGCTTTGGTGGGCCCAGTATTATGGTGTGGGGTGGAATCAGCCTAATTGGTAAAACGGAGTTGGTATTCCTGGATGAGGGCAACGTGAACGCTGCCAATTACGTCCAACAGGTCATCCAACCTCATGTGATCCCATATTCACAACGAATTGGCCGAGACTTCGTCTTGATGCATGATAATGCACGTCCTCATACGGCCCGTAGGACCAAAAGCGCACTTTCGGAAGCCAACATCAATGTTTTGCCGTGGCCCGCCTTGAGTCCCGACTTAAACCCAATTGAGCACTTATGGGATCAGCTGAAACGAAGCCTCAAAGAACAGTTTACTGCCATCCACAGTTGTCAGGAACTAACCAATGCACTAAAACACTGCTGGGAACAGATTCCTGTCGAAAATGTAACTCACCTTATAGAGAGTGTCGCAAATAGGCTCAGGGAATGTGTAAGGAACAGAGGAGGGCCTACACGTTACTAAACACCACTGGTATTTAACTCCTGCCATAGTGTTATAAAATTAAATGTTTTTGTGCCACAAAAATGCAGGTTCAAGTTCAGTGACTTTTTTTCAAAATTGTGCAACTTATGTTTTTTTACGGTAACAGTACCGATATGTACTGATATTGCGGCTTTGCAAACGTATAATTAGTTTTTTAAATAAAAAAAATACGTAAATTATACATAAGCATTTTTAATTTCTTTTTTTGACAAAAAATGTTAGTGGGCCCTAAGTTGTTTTGAGTAGTTTAGTTATAGGTACTTTTACCACCAATGTTCATCTTCAACGTCAAACAATCGACCAAATCTGTAGGCACCTTTATCAATCATCATTATCATCAAAATGCCAATTTACAATTAAAAAACTTTTTCTTGTGAACAGATCGCCGTATGGATAGACGAAATTCTTTCGGAATCCGACGAGCGATTGCTGATGATGGATTTCGATGAAGATGAAGGTTAGATATAGAACTAAATCTATATTAATATTAAGGAACAATTGTTGTCACTTTCAAGTGGATCAGCGATTAGCACCTCAAAGGTAAGCCGCCGTTTGAAACTGAGACAATTGTTCATGCCGAAACTGTCACTTAATCACTTTTGCAAAAACAGTTTTCTCCGTATTCGAGAACATTGGGGTTGAAGTGTGAACAATTGTCAAAAAATTCAAAATGCTGTTAGACTAGGTTTTTGAGAACCAGCACCCCAGTGTTGTCGGAACGAGTGGAACGAAGGTACGTAACATTCTAACAATAATTGGTGTTTTCCGAGAAGAAGTGAGTGCCCTAGACGCCGGAGACGACGAAACGTCGCCACCGGCAGAGAACACGCCACTGGAATCTAAAGAAGCCTCCACGACATCCAAGAAAAAACAGCCAACCACCTCAGGCACTACAATCACAACTCAAGGAGAATCTGCTAGTAACATTGAGTCCAAGTCCAAGTCTTCGCAACAAGTTAGTGCTTGGTCATAAAGCTAGATAGTTAAATATCTCGTTTCAGCAGGTCTTATTTTAACGTGATACATTTTAAAAATAATTCGACCATAGAATTATCATGATACAAATAGAGCAATAAGGTAACGAAAGACATCGATCACCGTAACGTAAGATATCAATAAACATATCAAACGTATCACGTTAAACATTAGTATATAGCATTCACTGCCGGCATTGTTTCTGGAACTATTATTCCCCAGGAAGTTCGCTAAGTGCCGCAAAAGCTTCGAGTTTGAATGCTTATGATCTCTCAAAAAGAGACCATCGCCTTCCAATTTTCTTCTCCCGCCAGTATAGATGTTACTACCGCTTGCAGGGAGAGGTCTTGGCCAATTACACGAGAGAGGATTCTCGAATCATCTTCCGATTATGATTACTCTTCGAGAGTCCTACCTAGCCGAAGGGTAAGCCCTTCAAAATCAAAACACAGTAATGCTCACATTACCGTTCGGCGGCAGAAATAGATAAACCAATAAGGCAACACACGCTTGAAACCAATCTGCCTACCAATACCAACGCTAATTAAAGAAAATTACAGAAAAAAGACTATAAGTACGATATTGCACTAGTCGAGTCTACCTGTTTATAAAACTGTTTTAAATAGTTCCATCAAGGAATTGAGAAAATTACTCAGCAAGCGAGTCTATGAAAATCCAAGCTCGAACACTTGACTCCGTCTGGTAAAGATGAATGTTCTCTATGGAATGTTGCGAAAAGTAAAGAAACCTCAGCAAACATTTCCAACTTTTCAAACCGGGCTAACATGGGCGTCACGGAGAGTGTGCGATGAAATTGCATGATTTCATTCCGCCTTCCTCTTTCCATATCGAGGGACTAGACGTGGGCTGTGGTTCCATTCGCATGTTGTGGATATTCCCTGGATTCGCACGAAGCGCTTCGCTTCCACATTTATATACCAAGCGGCTAGAGAGTGGAATTCCCTGCCTGCGGACTGATTCCCCGAACACTATAACATGGACCTTGTCAAGGCGAGAGCGAATAGGCATTATTTAGATGTGCATGCTATGTCGTCGACCACATCGTCACTTTCCATCAGGTGAGATGGAGGTCAAATGCGCACTTATTTCATATATAAAAAAAAAACATGCGCGTAGCGATGCAGATAATGCAGAGACGTTTGCGGTTCACTTAGAGTCTGTCTTTCAACCAAACGACTGCTCCGGAAATGATGTCTTGGAATTTGACGACATTCTCGCTCATTACTGCAGTTGTGCTTCCATGTAAATCCAACATCACCAAAGTAATTTTTTGCAGAAGTAACTAGAATAGCAAACAACAAGTCTCCTGGGTTCAACTATATCTCTCCGAAAGTACTAGGTGTTCTATTTAACGCCGTAATGAGAATTGGCTACTTTCCACTCGCCTGGAAGGTAGGTAATAATGATCTGCAAGGACGGGTAACCAGTCCATGAATGCATCTATGCTGTCAAAGCTGTGGAAAATAAATCTAATAAGGTTAAAGGAATGCCTCGAGAAAAAAAAACATAATCCCACAAAATCAATTTGGGTACTGTGGACAAGACTACTATTCAGCAAGTCCACCGAATTTATCAAACAATTAGACAGTGTTTGGAAAAGAAAGCATACTGCTCAACTGCTTTCATCGATGTCCATCAAGCCTTTGTTCGTGTCTGGCTTCGGGGATTGTAGTGTAAGATTAAAACTCAGATCATGCGTTCTCAGATCAGTGCATAGCGGCGGCTGCATCATGGGTGCGTTCGGTATTCATTGCGGTTTTATAATTTTAAACGCTTTGTTTACTTGTAAATTGAAGAAAAAATATAGTTAATGTTTCGTTCTTAGAAAGTTTCATAATAATAATATTTCCAAATTGATTTCGTAAAAAACATGAAACAATATGTTCACTTTGATCCTCAATATCACCTTTTCTACAAGAAAATTATAGTAACAATGGAAAGATTATGTGGCTCGCGTTTTTATTAAGGGTGTACACCTTGCATATGGGCGAAATTTCGAGAAAGTTTTCGAAATGTATGACCTTACAGCAGTAGCTTTCGAGGCACTCGGTGAAACCCTGGTGAAAGCATAATTATATAAATCGGCAGTGAATGCGTTAACGTGATAAGTACCTGCGGGGCCCAAAGGACCGCTCCTTAATTGCTCCACTTGAGTTTTATGTTTTCAGTAATCAAATCAATTGACGACGCTGGCGACGCTGGCTTCACCGATGAATTTCTCGACATGATGGGAGGTGTAAGTTTTTAAACGTAATCTTATACATAGTATTTAATACTAGACTTTAGACACGAACTTTACACTGAGTATTTGTTAACTTTAATAGGACGGACCGGCAACGTTAATCTACCTCAAGAAGAAAACCTGCAAAATGAAGCATATCAATATATATAGCTTAGAAACAGTCTTGTATAGTTTCGAACTACCATTACCCACTGCTCCTACCTAGTATTATATTTACATGCGACAATGTGACTTAACTTCATTCCATATAATAATAGGGTTTTTTATGACCTACACTAAGGTACAATGTTAATAATATAAAAGATAACATTAAATTATAAGTAAAAAATGTAAAACAATAAAAAAATAAGAAAATAAAATAAAATTTTAAAAGTCCCAATTATATTATTTAATGATGCCCTTTTGTTAATAATATTATTTAATGATCTAATCTACAATTGAACACGGCTGAGAAAGGTAATGTTTTGATCCAATTTCAAATTTTCCTCCTTTTAGGTATCACAGACATGAACAGGTTGACAAGTAGAGTAATTTATATTTACAACTGTACACGTTTTAAGAAATCGTTTTAGTAGAATCTGATGTTTAGCCGTTAACACTCAGTAAAAAACAACATTATTGCCACCTTGCAAAAAAAATCATTTAATCAATCTCAGAGATATTATGGAATATGGAGTAACGAATGCCATTTTCCGAAAATGTTTCATTTTCGATTTCCATTTTGTCTACCTATCAATGTGTTCATTTGCAGTGGAGTGGAGAATGTTTGTGTGTGTGCACTGAGTGGCCACACTGCGAATTTGCAAATGTAGTGCTGCAAGTTTTAGTAGTAGTTGTAAAACAATTGTAGAAACAATTGTGGTACGCAAAGCACATGTGTAAACTGAATAGTTTCCCAGATTTGGTATGAGATTCCCTGTGAGAATTAAGGGGCCACACATTTAGGCCTGTAACTTTTTATTTATCTCGTTTCAAAATCCAGGACGCTTTCTACAATTGTTTTACAATTTACAGCATTTGCTAATTCGTCATGTAGGCACTTAGTGCGTACACACATGTGAAGGTTGATTTTGATTATTTTTCTTCACAGTTTTTTGCATGCATTTTTCTCGACATTTTTCCAAGTTTCCTGACGTTAATATTTTTTGTCTTACAGGCATCAGGTCGGACTCCACCTCGTAAGTGTAATTTTACTACATGCTGCATGTTCTAAGGTCGTATACAAGTTTGATTGATGATGGTTTTCAGGTAATAATTTAATGATAGTTGTTCATTTTGGAAAACTGCTAATTTGTGGATTTCACAACCTGACTATTTACTGACTACTGGAATGCATGTGTTTAAGTAACTTGTCTGTTGATACGTAGATATGTTATTTATTTAAACTTGGGTGGTAATAACATTTGTTTTTGTTTCTTTCAATAGCTAAACCCGCCTATTTACAATTCAAAGGTACGTGCAATCCATTACTAATAATCTCAGAAAAAAACTACCAAAAAAGCCGACCCCAAAAGTTCGTGGAGTTACATCTATTTGCCAAGTTTTATTGAAATCGGTTACCAGAAAGTGCGCGAAACCGGATAAATGCCCTTTCATTTTGTTCCGCCTGTTCGCACCTATTTAAATGGGACCACGACAGAGGTACCTATCCTCTTTTTAACAAAAAAAAAAACATCAAAATTAATCGGCTCATAAATGCCAAAGATATCGCGTATGTTGCATGCAAAAAAAAGAAAATAAAAACATACAGCGGAATTGAAAACCTCCTCCTTTTTTGTAGTCGGTTAAAAATATACGAGTACTTTGAAATAAGGGTAAACCTTCATGCCTCTTATTGGCGCAGGCCCAATGGCGGAAGCTTTTAAATTACTGACAAGTGAGATGACCAAGAAAGGATCTGAACAGTTCGTGAAACATAAGAAATTCGAACAAAGTTATAAGGAGGCGGCTGATGAGTAAGTTTTTTGGACAAGTTATTTAGTGGTCCTCAAAAATCACCCATACTTTTATATAGGTACATGTATTATTTCTAGGCTGAGATCAGCGCCGAGCTTTGAAGCCATCGATTATGAGATTGCCATGTCAAAAGAGATAAATGATAAGCTGTCAAAAACTGTTGCAAAAGTTACGCCAAAAGATATGGTGGAACCTATGAAAGGTTCGTTATTAATTAAAGCTATTTATACTTTGGAATATATTACGGTGCGTTAAGAAATTTTAACAAACTTCTGACACAAATATTGATATCAGAACTCAATGCTAAGGACGCCTTCAATTTAGACGTTTATAAGACTGCAATGGCGAGATTGTGGCGCGGAGCGCTTCCGTAGTTTTTAGTTCACTAATTGAGACTGCAAGAGTGGCGCGCGCGTGGCATGTACCGAGTGTCGCTGCAACTGCCCTTCTAAAGCGTGAAACACATAGAACTGGTACGGGTCGGGTGCGTGTCAGGTCGGGTGCTCAGTGGGTGTAATTCCTTGTATTTATACTTAATGGACGACAACAAACAATATGCGGCGCGCGAGCGCGGGATGGGCGCAGGTGGCACCCGCTGTCAGTGTGTTTCACGCTTAAATATTGTATGAAAATTAGTAGTGGCGCGGCTGTAGCGTCACAGTTGCGCCACTGCAGCGCTTCTATAGGCGTCTAATTTGAAGCCATTACTTTAATTTTCAGCATCAATGTCGACGATATCGTTGACTTACCGCAAACGTCAAACTCGTTAAATAGACTGCACGCAAATGACAAATATCAATCTTAGTGACTTTTAATCAACTCTACGCATACGGCATATACCGTCCGGTTTTCCTTGTTTTTTAGTCTATTTTCTCCATAAAATTAGTCATTGATTGTCAAACGTTACAAATTGCAGTTTGAATAATAAACCCATAATAAACCTATCACTTTTTTGTCCTATCACTCCTATTACTTTCTAAAGGACTATCCACACACATCAGCGCCGTGCCCGGGACGTGGCCGGGACGTGCTGGTTTGTATGAACTGCGGGGCCGTCCCGGCGCTGCTCCGACCCGGACACAGACATGTGTGAACGAGTTCATACAAAGCATACGCAACGATATTTTTTTTGAGCCCCTGACGGAGCACATCCCGTCCACGACTCGAGCACGGAGCGGATATGTGTGGATAGACCATAAACTAATGCATTCCCACTGCTGTGAGCGCCATAGAACAACCGTAACAATTAAAAATTTACACGCCCCAGCGAGACGCATAGTGGCTACGCGCTGTTGACCATCTGTTTTGTGTTCTAAGTTTTCTATATAATCGTGCAGATGCTAGTCAAATAAGCCCAATATGACATTTAAGTTTGTTTTTGTAATCAAAAAACTTCGTCTGTATTTTGTTGCTAAATTAAACAATCAAAGAAATCACGAACATAACTTGTTATGAATACAGGTATTGTACTTATTTCTAAGAATTTCCTTTATTTATTCTTCACAGAAATCGTCGACATTTGCTCGCCCTATCTAGCACAAGTTGCAGAATATGCCAGTAAGTTAAAATCCTTTTAAGTACCTACAGATTTTGGTACGTGATGCATTCCGAGTGATAAACCCAAAAAGTCCTACGACCACGCTATAGGTTACACAGTTCAAAATTTGGTGTGAAGAACTGTTTTTAAAATCCCAAGTCAATTACTAAGGAATGGTTTGTTTTTGGTTGATATTATAAATTCACTTACCGATCAAATTTTGTGCTTTTAGAAAATCAGTCATTTTGGGAAATGGGATTTTTGAGGCTTCAACAATATGTCAACATATTGTTGTAGTACATAATGACATTCTGACCAAACCAGCCGGAAGGTTTAACAAAAAATTTGTTTGGTAAGTGAATTCCTTCCGGCCATAACAACGTTATTTTATTTTTAAATACCTTTAAATAAGGTTTAATTTTTTTTACAGAGGATAAGGGCAAAGCATTCAACGAATTAATAAAAAAAATGAAAGAACAACCGAACAAAACAGCATATGTAAAAGGAAAGGTTAAAAAAAATATGAGAGATGCAGCTAAAGAGTAAGTGACTTAAAAACAAAATACTAAAACGACTGGAGACATTAAATCATGGAGCTTCTTCCCAACAATAAGTCAAAACTAGTGTAGCGGCAGATATCAAATTTGTATGGTAGCTAGTAGGTGGATGTGCACCTACTGATCGATAGAACAACAAATGATCTATTTTCACAAGGTACAACGATCTCTTTCACAAGCTCTACTGCAACTAAAAATATAAAAGGGCCATTATTTATACCATCATCGGTATATTAGATTGAAAGTTGTTATGTAAGCCCAATGGTACTTTATATCACAGAATACGCCAAATGTTTTATATCATAAATTAATTTACCCCTTGATTTCCTTAAAAAATGTGTCAGTTGTTCATATCGAATGAACCGGACCCAGTGCTGATATTAGTTTCGTCAAGTCTGTCAATATGGCACAGTCATATGTTCTGTATATATTCTCTATCTATCTGATGTTACGTGATATTCAACATACTCGACGAGGTTTTTCTGTTGCTGAAATCATGATGAAATCAAAACTTTTCAATTCATAAATTACTTTCAGTTTAATTACAGCGAAAGGATTTGAAACCGATCACGATGATCCCAATCTAGCGCAAACGATCCACGATAATCTGACACAAATAGCGTCGCCAATTCCAACTGACCAGAATACTGACATGAACGGTATATAAAATAAGTAATAATCGCCTCTTATCGACGACTTCCTAGTATCGACCGCTACATAGCAAGTATGTAATAAACGCCGTGATATAGGACCACCTGCAATTCTTTTTCACAACATTTAAAACTGCCTCCTTGGCCGAACGGTTACCATGCCGATGAACGGTTACTGGCACGCCATGTCCCAGGTTCAATTCTCGGGCGGGGAGAAATATTTGCATCCTGGAGCATCCTGGGCAGATAACGGACTTCTTTTGCAAGGACCTGGGGTTTGTCAAACTTCATTGAATTTGTAGGTTTATCCATGACATGCTCGCAGACTGCAGACTTGTTTACGCGACGGTGTTTGACATCAGCTATATGTTCTTTGACGCGGATACAAATACTTCGCTTTGTTTGTCCAATATAAGAGAGACCGCACTCACAGTCAAGCTTGTAAACTCCTGCATCCTGTAAGGGGATGTTACATTTCACGGGTCTCGGGAACTGAGAAATCTTCCTCAGGGGCTTGAAATAGGTCTTGATAGATGCACGCCTGAGGACTCTTCCGATCTTGTCTGTAACACCTTTCACGTAAGGTAAGATGGCAGGTCTTCCCTCGACTGTTGGTGGTTTCACACGGGGTCTGCGGCATTGGCATGGAATCCTCAACTTATTCGCATGTAGGACTTGCTTTATATGCTGAAGTTCCCCCGCCAGATGATTACTGTCGCAGACACCATATGCTCTCTGAAACAAAGATTTGCCCACGGTAGCTAACTGGCTAGGATGGTGATGGGAATTACCATTGAGGTACCTATCTGTATGGGTTTTCTTTCGAAATACAGTATGGCCTAAGGTGTTATTAGAATTTCTTTTAATTAAAATTTTTATAATTAAAAAAAAATTAAAAAAAAAATTTTTTAATTGGCCTTTCTCGTAAATATTAATTAATTTTTATATATATTATTATGTCGAATTTTGTACAAATTCACTTAAAGGTATAATAAACAGTTGGGCAGATACATATATACAAATATTACTACAAATGTGAAAATAAGCGTGTACTATATATATATTATATAAGAAATGTTACCGATATTTTAACTAAACGTAAACTCAAATATCCGTAATTCCGATTTATAACAAAACCGTTACACTTTCGAGTAATTTTGACGCTTTTTACATAGACAAAATTAGCTTTTGTTTTGTTATCTTCGTAAAAACACATTATGAAAATTCGAGCTAATGTTATTTCGGGCAAATGTATTTTCTGACTTCTGATACGTAATCCCATGCCGTAAAACGAGTACAAGAATATTTTGTTAGTTATTTAACGTTTAATAAAAAAATCATTTTAAAAATAGGATTAAAATCAAAGCAACTCTACAGTTTCTTTGTTCTAAAAAGGTTCTAAATATTTCAATCGCTTGTGGTTCGAACAATTGAAAATGACCAAGAAGTTTATATAAGCTTCTTGAAACTGACGTAATGGGCCTCTTTCCATCTTTTGCGCATGCAATGAGTAGAAAAAGGACAGTTAGCTATTTCATTATTTCGCGTTTTGTAATTTATATTTACGATTCAGTTATATATAAATTAAATACTATACAACTGTCCAAAATAACACTTTTAAATGACAACTATGACAACACAATATATTTGTTTAGTGAAAATATGATACAAAATCCTGTTTTCACACTTTACTGTAGTAATTTTTACAAGTTATTATTATTGGTACTGCATGATTGAGTACCGCGCTGTCACTCGAGCAAACGAAGACTATTGCGCGATTGACGCTCTGTATGCGATTTTAACGCCTTACAGGTCCGCACACTTAGCGCGAACCCGACGTCCATTTATTGGTAGGTCAATGCTTTTCATAAAGCCATTTACGTGTAAAATTTTTACTGTAAAAATGAAATTCCCATGCTCGACTGACTAAATCTACACTACCTCATAGAAGAGTATAAATACTAAAGTACCACTACCTACTGCAATACCTTCACCGAGTTTATACGTAGGTAGGAACCACTCGCCTTTTTACAGTTTTATACGCTATTAATTATATAGGTAAAAATTCGGATAATTTTAGAAAACATGACAATAAAAGTGATAGTGTGAATGAGGATATTTAATTTGAAATTATATTTGACTAGTTATTCTAATAGTAGGTACCTTGTGTATTAAGAGCGGTAAATAATAAATATTACTAAGTTTGGCTTTGTTTGCGCGGTGTAGCAACACACTTGAAAAAAATAGACAATAGCATTGTCACTATACTTTTTGTTCTTGGAAAGAAAGGAAAGGTATACTGTAAATCTAATACATATGTATTTGTGTGAAATTATGTTTAGTCTGCTTCCCATTTATCATAATAAAATAAAACCAGTTTCGAGAGAAAGTTTATATTTTTAGAGAGCAAAATGAACAATTATAACACCAAGCACTTTGAAGCACAAGAAGAAATTACAAAACCCGGACAGTGTCTATGTAGCGTGTGTGTAGCCAGAAAGACCCGATCTCGTCCGCTCCGGTCTCGTCTACCATCACAATTCCCCACCCAGATACCGTCGAGGTCCAACGTCAGAGGGAGCGCGCAATTCACGCTGTAAATTGCAGGTGGCAACCTAGTCTCGCAGTTCTTCATCCGTGCTCATGACCGTTTCCGACATAGTATTAACTACACAAAATAATGTAAATTTACTTTTTCGTTTTACAGAAACTTTAGATCTCACATCAAAGTGGTTGTCTCAAAAGGCTATCGATGAAAGTAAGCATTTCACGCACTACTTTGATCAAAGTTTTCTTTGCCTTTGTAGTCGTTAATAGACGACGATAGTTTTTCGTGAATGACTAAAAGGAACACAGGTGTCAAATTCAATATTGGTATTTCAATGTTCTTCACTCACATAATATTGTTTTCACAGGTGAACGTGGACCAGCTTTCCAGAAAATGATCACACATTTGAAAGAACATGGTACCGATGCGTTTACTCCTGAACATCTAGGACTTGAAACGAAGAATCATGCAGCGCATGTGTAAGTACTTCTACTTACTTCTTCATCTGAACCTGCTTTTCAAAACTGTCTTAATGGGGCGATGACTATTTAGTTTGATCCTATGGCACCAAAATGCAGACGATACTTCCAACTACTTCACGTCGTGTATACATACCAACTACCAATAATCTGAAGTTTCATTATACAAATATTTCATTCTACTTGAGCTTTGGATAATCCAAGGCTGAATGTCCACGGTTCATTAAACGCGTTACATCATGTGCACCTTTGTTATGGACTATTTGTTTATTATCTGTGGACTGAATTAGAGCTCAGTGCCTGGCAGAAGTCCCAACCCAATTTGAATTCTCTAAAGCGAGCCCTCGTCGAACAAGCGAACCGAATCCCATTGGAGAAGATTTGTGTCACGAAACAAAATTGACCCAAATCGTCTAAGAGCTTAGGAATAAGGCGGTCATTTTGAGTGAGTAGTAATTACTTGTAGCGTTCTTGATTAGTGTCTACTCGCAGCATTACCTGAAAATCCTTAAATTTAATTTCAAATTTTTATTTTATTTCGTCTCAAAACTTATGAACACACGAAGTAGCAACAAGCACGCAATTTTGATCGCAATATTTTTATTACTGTTACGAAACGTTATTTACGCGGTAATTTTGCATTCCTGCTTGGCGGTAGAAATAGATAAGGTGGCAGTACTTCCCTAGATGAACTTTTTCACAAAGGGCTCTACTGCTACTATATATCAGTTGTCAATACATATACCATATTTGAATATTTATTTACGTATACAGGGTGTAATCGTTAAGTGTGCCCAGGCGATTATTCCATAAACATAAGATATCAATAAGCTTTAAACTGTTATCGTAAGTACATTAACTAATGATTAAATTGACAAGTAACTATATAATTCTAACTGTAATTATGTAATGATAACTTAAAAATAATAAAACTAGAAACATCCAAAATTTTAGTATTAAACGCTCCCATACATTTAATACATAGATATAGAAAAAAATCAGTCAGTTTTCCATTATACGTTACCACGGGTTGGTAAAGCTGTCACTGTCAAGAGCAAACTCGAACCATCAAGGAATTTAATAAATTAAATTATGTTGTTTTTTATGAAGGATTTATGTAGTTTTCTATAATTGTTTCTAATTTATTTTGCATGCACATGTAAAATAAAGCCAATTTTATTTTATTCATTTTTACAAGGTGTTTTGTACAACTTGGCATTTTCACGTTTTACGAGAGATCTTGTTGTACAACGATCGCCATGTCACAGTGGCCATGATTGTAGGCGTGTCACCTCGATATAATCATTTTGATCATATCGAGACGACACGAAGTACGCCCCCATACCAAATCTCTCCTTTTTTTCTATATCTATATTTAATACGACATACTTAGAGAGGCTCTAGTTTTCCTACTTTAACAGCTAAGAATAAGTTTACAAATAATAAAACACCTATAAATAAAGTAATAAAACTATCTTTTAATTGAATGAAAATATAATATACATATGACATAGTCAATTATGTGATCAAGTGTGAGTTGTCTATAATAATGAATAAAACTGATCAAATTCTTTTTAGTGCTGATGACTTAATTTCATGTAAGGATCACTTCATTGTATACCATATATTCATTGATTATTTGACTGATCGCTCCCAATGAGTCAATGAGAGTGAGTGAGGGAGGAGGGGCTCTGTTTTGGTGTTCCACAGGGCAGCATTCTGCGCCTTACCTTATTCACGATCTATATTAATGAGCTTTGCCAAATTTACATGGAAGATGGTGATATTTTTACCTATGCTGATGATACTGCTTTACTCGCATACGACACTGACTGGACTAAGGCAAACGCGCGCAGAGACATCCTTGGCTCCAAGAAGTCGCACGGTTAATAGAGAACTCATCCAGTGTTGGGCAAAATTTAATTGTTCTGGCAATTAAAGATTGACAATTAATTAATTGTCAATTGCGAAACAGCAACTAACAATTGATCAATCGTTAATCGCGTATGTCTACAATTAACAATTAATCAATTTTCAATCTTTTCAATGTTCTTGAGTGGGTGGGTGAGTAGGTGGGTGAGCGGGTGTGTTGAGTTAAGAGGTGGGTCACTTACCCCTGACCCACCTCCTAACTCACCGCCTTACCCACCACCTTTTTTTTTTGTTAATCCGGGTGCATCTGCATACAGATACCCCGGCCAGGCGGGGGCAGGGCCAGGGTTATATGGGACTGGGCTGAACCCTGGAGGGGAGCAGCCCGACCGCACTAAACCCCCGGAGTGTTCCTCCTCTCCGCTGTAGGTGGGGGTACGGGCAGATGCGCTCGTCCGTGCCCCCACCAGCGGCTGGCCGCGCCTTTCGCAGCCCCTCCCCGAGAAGGGAGACACATCGGTCCCCCGACTCCGAATGTGAGGCTCGCCGAACACCAGACGAGCCTTCCATCCCGGGCCCCTCTATGCTGGGCAACGAACTCCTCCGAGTCCTCTACCCAGGGGCCATGGGGGGCCAGGACAGCATCCACTCAACTGTGAAGTTCAGTGGCTGCTCCCCCAGCTCCCGCGGCGGATCTGATGGCAGGCTCCGCCGCAACACCTAACGCGCGACTCTTCGAAGAGAGTCCCTTGGAGCGCCGACCACGGGTCAACCGCCCACCTAACCCAACCCCCAACCTAACTCACCCCCTAACCGTCCCCCTAACCGTCCCCCTAACCGACCCCCTACCCGCCCCCCAACCGGCCCCCGACCGGCCCTCCGACCGGTCCCCCGACCGGCCCCCCCGACCGGCCCCCCGACCGGCCTCCCGACCGGCCCCCGACCGGCCTCCCGTAGTTAGCTATTATATACTAGTAGCATTTTTACTAAAACGCCACCTGATGGTGAATGGCTGAATCAGGATGAAAAAAAATACTGAAATATTGTAGTATAACTCTTACTCAAGTGACTGTAAATTAAATTTTGTTAAATTGTGTTACGTCGTTTTCACATTTTAAGCCCTACCCAATCAAAATCTTTAAGTTATGGTAGTAGATAATAGAGCGTAAAGTTTGAATTGCACACAAGCTAAAAAGCGGCGACATCGGTACTCGATCTTACATAGCGTCATTACATATCTCCCCTTTTTTCCTATATCTATGGACGCTACTTATACCGTATCATCGTAGATGAGTACGACATAGGCAGCAAAACCAGGAACAGCAGACAGAGTGAGCTTGTCGCTACTTATATTGCATCATCGTAGGTGAACACAACATAGTCTGCAAAACTAGTAAGCCCATGCAAACAAATGTACTGGCAATGCTAACTAAGAACATTATTTAACGTACCACATCTCAGTCTTTAACGAGAATAGGTAACTTGACAGGAACAATAAAAACAGGAACGTTTGGACAATAAAAGTATTTATCATACTTTATTGTAATTTGTAGATGTAAATACTGTTAATAGTATCATAGCTTCATTCACATGACACCATGGTTTCATTTAAACTCAAGTATAAATACATATAGTACACCGGATATGTATTAAATAGATAACAGCATATATAAAAGGTGTGATATACACATAGAGATGTAATTGATACAAGATAAGAAGTAACATCCCATTAATGTAGACTAGTTATATAAGACTTATATAACTAGAGAAGTAGGATGACAGAGAATAAGGAAAGAAGAATAGGCCCACCTCATACCCTGCCTAATTCATTTAAATCAGAATTCCTATTACACCTTGAATAACACAAGTAAGAAAGGTATCCAATAGAAGTTAATACTTGGTAGGAAACTTATCTAAGTTGGTGTTAGTGTTATGCTAATACACCGTCATTATATATTTTATTCATAAAGTTTGCTAGATCATTTTTAGCACTTAAATTAAAAAAAAATTAGTAGCCGTAGAACTCCTTGTGAAAGAGTTCGTCTAGGGAAGTACTGCCTTACCTTACCTATTTCTGCCGCCAAGCAGTAATGTGTTCCGGTTTTGAAGGGTAGGGTGCTGGTGAAATTACAGGCACATGGGACTTATCAACTTATGTCTCAGGGTATCGGGCACAGTGGCAGTGCCACTCAGATCTTTGCGGTTTAAAGCTCTGAGCGGCACTGCAATTGTTTTGGACAGGCGTGAGCTTACCATCAGGCGCAAAACTTGTTCGTCCCATCATTTGATGTGATAAAAAAATAGAAGATTAGATATTTATTACTTTTTCTTTTACTGATGTACAGTAGTAATAGTATTATAAACCTATTGTAAGCACAAAGCTTTCACTTATCCATAATTTTTTTAAATGTTTATGCCTTGGTTCAGAGAATCTCCTCCTCCTAAAACACAGGTCTAATACCTAATTTAGGAGTTGGAAGCTCATATATAATTGTAACATTTTGTGTATGTAACCTGCATATGTAAAGTACGAAATAAAAATATTATTATTATTATTAGTATAATCATATAGATTTGTACCTACTATTTTATACCTGTAAAAAATTATCCACTTTGGTACATACAATGAATACCCAAATTAATTAATTTTATTATTCCATAGTCTTGAAGAAGCTCCAGGATTATCTTCTATCAAGCCGGATCCTGTTACTGTTCCGCATTTTAAAGAAAAACTACACAAAGAAGTGGAGCTTGTTACGACTCCGAGTACGACTGGCGAAATGGGAGGTAAATAAAGACAAAACTAAAGATTATTTTGTATTTATTGATACATTTATTGATATTAACCTAACAAGTTTCCAAATTCTTAAGGCTCTGTGTTCTAAATTGTACAGGAGATGAGCTGATGGACTTTTTTGTACATGTACTTACTATTTAAAAAAAAGAAAATAACAATATACTGATCAATAGTTATATTGGTTTCACTTGTTTCAGAGGCCATAGAACTTACATCAAATTACTTGTCAGGCTATGCTCGTGATAAAAGTGAGTTACTCTATAAATTTGTTTATTCAAGTAGGGAAGTATTGGATATTGCCGCGCGTCTGATAATTTCGCGCATCTGTATACCTCAATAACTACACCCTGCTAAGGCGCCGCGCGATCGTGTAGCTGGTGTTAGATACAAGCAACCGACAACTAGAAGCGATTATTCTATTTTCATGCAATTGCTGTTGCAGCAACCGGCGACAGTGCCCGACTGGTGCAACCGGCGACTGTGTCGATTTCATATCAATTGTATGAAAATAGAATATTCATTTCTAGGTGCCGGTTGCTTGTATCCAACACAACACAAACGTTCGCGTGGTGCCTTAAAATCTGGAATACCCCAGTATCATAGCTTGACACATATTACTCCCCGCATGCACGCTATTACTTTTCATCCTAAGCAACCATATGAAGAAGACACGTACTGTTTGTTTTCACACTTTCAATTTAATTGTGCCTGTTTAGGTAAGAGGTAAGCAATATTACATTTTTATTTTAAGTAATTGCTTTAACATATTTGAAAGATTAAAATAATGTATCAATGATTTGCAAAATCATTACGAGATTTGAAAACAAAGTGATTGTGTTTAACAATTTCGAGCTTAGAGCACGGCATTAAAACAAAACGAACCTGTTAAACGGGAAGTTTCGAATAGAAATGTAAACAGTGACAAGCATAAGTTTGTAGATAACGAGTACATACCAAAATCTCGAAATAATAAAGATAATCAAAATTTTAAAGGGATAAAACTGCAAAATATCGAAAGAACGTATAACAGTATTTTTAACATACATTAGATTTTGAAGACGTAAGGGTGATTTTCCACCGGCGAGGCGAGACGAAATGAGGCTAGACGAGAATTGAAATCTCGCTGGCCTATTTCCATCAAAACTCGCGATTGATTATATATTAATTTATTATATATAGCTACATATTTAATTAAATATTAATTATATAATAATTAATAGCCATCACGAGACCTCGCGAGCTAGTACTGTTCAGTTCGTTTAGCGATAAATACGCAGCTGAAGTAATACGTCCCGTAAATGATTATTAAATATGTTAACGGAAGAGTCTGATGAAACCATTTTTTTTTTAATAATTCCACTCATGGCATGTAGTGGAGATATGAGTACTATCAAAATCCTACTGGGCCTACTAGTGAAACCAAGAGCGGAACGAAGATCCCGAAAGGAATTGCACAATCAATTTTTTTTGTTCTTGTGGACCATATGCAAGAAACTAGCATAAAAAAAATTCTACAGATCGTGACGAAGTCCAAATTTTTAATTTCATCCTGTGACCTGAAACATCAGGTTAGTTTGTAGGGAAAGTATGCAATATTGCGCGTGAAAATGTGCGGTACTAAGAAAATAGAAAAACAAGAAAGACTGCTGCGTATATTCCGTAGGCAATTATTTTGCCTCGTTGTAACAAGTTTTTTAAACCAGTAGGCGTCTACTAAAATTAACTTAGTAACGTTCGCCAATGTTATGAATTCCTTTACCTTAGAAGGGAAAAATAGTTTAAAATTTGCCTTATTGTGTGATTTCACCTGTATCTTATTATTACAATAATATTAGTATCTTTTGATAAGTCACATAATTCGTAATTACACAGAAGCGACGCAAACACAACTAATACAGATGATGAAAAGCAAACCAAGTGCATTACTAACGAAAAGAGATGCACATACCATGAATTATGGCCAAGGAGCGGATGAGTAAGTTTTAGCACAGTTTAACACATCATACAGTAGGGAAACGAATATGTGTAGGTACCCGCCATAGCCACGACACAAAGGTTTGATCCCACAAACACGCTTAGTTTGTGGGATCAAACGCTCTTAGTTTGTGGGATCAAACGCTAAGTGCTGATGAGTGCGTGATTTAAAATAAATATATATTTAAAATATATACGTTCAGTGAAATTTACGAAAATTGACAATAACATGCAGAATAATGATAATATTATTAAGTCGATTTTCTACTGATGTTTTCGAAAAATACGTTTCAGGATTTCGGTGAATATTGTAGTGCTGGAAGACCGTTTTAGGCAGAATTTCCGTTTATTCTTCGTAACATTTTAGATAAATTTTATAACGTACCATGTAAAGTAAAAATTAAATCACGGCCATGCTCATGTTTTCCCATTTTTTTTATTAAATGTCCATTCGAATGCGAAAGCATTATTTCGGCCATTCTCAAAACAGCAACTTTTTGCATGTGCCGACCTTTCCTGTCTCTTTATGGCATCATACAGAACCACAAATTTCTTTTTTAAACTGATTTATACACTTTTATCTAAAGGTATTTTTAAGATTTTAGCTCTACTACTTAATTATCATACTTATTTTATTCTTCAAACCCATGTTCTTCAATTACCGTAGCCTGTCCGGACGCTGCTTTTATCTGCAAATTTACTTCTCATCTTAGTCCGGAATGAATTACACCAATGCCATTTAAGATCCTGGGTAGCAAAATACTGCTTGTGTAATCGCAGAAAAATATAACCTACGATGACCTTTCTTTTAAAAATCTACCATCAAATATTCGAGTGTCCGGCCCGAAGGTTTCATTACCGTCAATATTCTTTTCAAAGTGCGCATACCGAAACCACGAAATAGTGTCAGCGTATTCGCTCGCAATTTATAAAAGTATCTAATTACCGTAACATTGCTTTTACAATTTTCTAATTCCCATTCCCCTGTTTGTGAATTACATTTTTCAAGGAAATGTGTTATCGCTTATTGAAATAAAAGAGCTAATAGGCCTTTATGTATTACGATACTCGAATATTTTCCAACTCTTCCAGTTTTTGAAATTTTTGAGGAATTGGTCCGTGTTGACTACCTACTGTAAATTACCGTAGGTTTTCTAATTACCGTAGTATGAAAATATTGAAGAGTTTTAAATATTACATACTATTTCGTGTCAGTATAGAGCATATCTAAACATATTATGATAAAACCAGACTTCTAGGTAATAATTAGACGTTATAATCAAACCAATACACAATATTTTTTAACAAAAAAAAAATAAGGAGGAAATTTTAGAAAAAAGAGACTTGCGACTTTAAAAAATGGTTCGATTTTATATCAGCGATCGAAAGAGAAGGGGAAAAAGAGATATATTAGTAAAGAAAAGTAGTTGTTACCAGTTTGGGAAAAGCCTGTTAAAAATCCTAAAAAAATCAAACGCGAAACAGAATCAATTTCAAGGCATAAAAAATAAAAGTTATAGACTAATTTAGTTAAAAAAACTACAAGAAGAAATGTTAGCAACTGAATGGAATGAACAATTCAATGGCACTATGTAAGAGATCCCCTGAAATCTCCATCGCCAATAAATTCGTGATACTCGACGTATTATAACTTCATCGCGGTTCCAGCGTGTTTTTTAAAAAACCACAAAAAATAGTCTTAGGGACGAACTTTGTCAGCCATCTACTTCTTCCAGGAACTCCACAAATACGAATCTTTTGGACGAAGATTCGAGATCCTGTGCTGTCCAGGATTTGTTGATACCACGGTCTGCGTCTGTTTACAGCTTAATGGATTTTTTTTGACACAGCTGAATTGTGTTTTATATTATGCTTCAGTGATGTAGAATAGTTTATAGGTATATTATATTACCCTGCTAAAAAACCTATACAAAACAGCCACGAGAACAGTACACTATCAATACAATTCAACGATTATTCTAATACTAAGTCGTACGCCAATGAGATATCTTCGACGCTACGCACTAACGCACTAGAAAATATCTTCAAAACACTAGATTGGAATGGTTTAGGCATAAACGTGAACGGTCAATATCTCCATCACATCACCTAAGATTTATGGATGACGTCGTCTTGCTTGCGAAATCAGCAGGAGACCTCGTGAGTATGCTCAACGGCTTCAGCCGTATTTTTAGAAAAGAACATCCAATTCCATCTGAGAAAACATGGATTCAATTACGAAATTGTGTCGAGAAAGGGACCAAGTATTACTGGTAGCAACCGAATATTCAGAAAGAACACTAAACGAGAAATATGACGAAACGGAGAAATACAGACATCGATGGCTAGAAATCAAAAATTGTACGTCTTAGAAAGAATCTCAGAAAGAGGCTTCAAAACAGCACAATCTGAAACTACCACTATTGGAATTCGTAAAACTCAATGATGACCCGAAGAAGTGGGTACCATTCTAGGGACAGTTTAGAAAAATACCCGAAGATAACACCATGGATGAACCAGGCCTTGATGCAAGCAATGATCCCAGGATCGAAAGCGAGGGCTCTAGTCGAAAGTTATGCTTCCACCAAAGGGAACTATGTACATGTGGTGCACATGCTGAAGGATAGATTTGCCAAATATGAAGTTCTCATTGAAACATATGTTCGGGAAATTCTAAAATTAGTAGTTTCAAATAGTGAAGCGATAGATGTTCTCTATGATAAAATTGTAGGAAATTTACAAACATTAGAAACCTTACGAATTTGTAAAGACAAATATAAATGTATATTATACCCACTCGCAGAGTCTGCCTTGCCAGAAAACACTCTACTTAACTGGATTAGACTTCCACATAATGACTCGTCCAAACTCACACAACTGCTAGGTTTCTTAAAGACAGAAGCTAAGAATAACTTTTTACAGATGGACGCAGGTAGGGAGGTAATTCCAATAGCAGTGTGTCTCCTAAGTAAAGAAACAAAGGGTAAACCAGAGCTGCACTACCCGCTGGCTCAGATGGCCAGTTTGTGGGACTAGCGAGTAAGAATTCAGGACCAACTATTCAACGGGAGTCTACCATTGAAGTGGTACCTCTACCACGCGTAACGTCATCAGCTAAATTTAAATCGGTTGGAACCCAGTGCCATTCGGAAACAGCGCTGTTCTCCAATATCTCGCCAACTCTATTGGCTGCAAAGGGTTTGTAATTTCGTGCATTTCTTCGTAGCTAACCCAGTACCGTTATCGAGTCGCACGAGAAGTAACGTCGACTGGGTTTGCCACGACGAGCGTCGCAAATAAATGAAGCTAGGCGAGTGGCTATCAAAGCCTATTGTAATTCTTTACACTTACTTTACTCGCAATGAACACGAGCTTCACGTCACCGAAAACATCAACGCATCGCCAATATGCGATTACAATATACGCTAATTGACTCGCGTCACAAAATACGCGTAGCTCCCGTTCCTTCCCATTCATGCTACTTAATTTATACTATTGGGGTATTCGTATTTCTCGAATTGACTCAAACCATTCATCCCATGCTTTGTAGTCGTCTTCACAAATTTTGGAATAGTATTCGAACTTTGACTACGATTGGTGACAATATTCCCAACTGGTCATAAATACGCATGACTTAAGTAAGAGCTTGACGTTTTATTCGGGGAGGAGATGACTCATTAGACAGACCAGAGTTATGTTTTAGTTCATTACAAGAGGGCTGCCAAATAAGACCTAGAGTGCGAGACATCGAGTCATTGCACAAATATATATCACGCACCTTACTGTTAACGACATTGAACAACAATTCATCTGGTAACGTTGCTAAGGCTGCTGGCTCGTTGGTTGTCCAGCTACGCATTTCAAAGCCGCCGCCGCGTCTGTGAATAGTAACTACCTCCTCAATCAGGCGAGTTGCGTCCTTAATACTATGAACACTGCTGATAAAATCATCCATGTAGGTATCGCTCTTGATGATTCGCACGGACTCTGGGAGCTCTTCTCGGAACTATGATGCATTTAAGTTGGTGATGTAGATTGCCGTTGCAGGACTTGAGCATGCGGCAAAAATCATGGAGCTCATACGGTAGGTTTTAATAGGGCCAGAAGGGTCACGCCACTGGAAGCGTTGGTCGTACCTGTATCGATGTATAATTTTTATTTGTGGGAACATTTCCTTTATATCGTCAATTAGGGCGATCCTTCCTTCTATAAATCACATCAAAATTCCGTGTTGATTCTGCAACAGGTCAGTTAACAGTAAAGAATTTAAAGACACTCCCGAAGAGTGCGCGGCAGCATCATGGGATATACATAGCTTCGTCGGTTTGTTCGGATTTATCACCCCGAAGTTGGTAAAAACCAACAAATACCAGCAGGTTTTTGTCCCGTTCACTATTCCGCGTGTCCTTTATTCAAGGTATCGTGGATATTTTTACGATATCGCTTAGCATAGTCTGGCTCTCGCCACATCTTCTTTTCTAAGCTCCTGAACCTAGACAATGCTAAAGGGTGCTGTTATCGTATCCGACTTCTAACACAAGCCAAGTTCAAAGCGCCCGGATGGAAGTCGGCGAGCAGTAGGTACGAACTAAAATTTCTAATGCGTGTTGATCATCGGTATTACGCGCCTCATATTTGGTGACTCGTCATATTTCTACACTAATGTCATTTGATGCCGTTGTGTTTCTAGCCAGTCGTTACCTAAGTCAATAAAGGTTGTCTACGAAAACGACAAGAAAACCCGATTGCCCGATCGGTACAATAAGTAATTATTTATTGTCGCAATGTTATTGCAACTTTACATACACTTAACTTAGGGGATTCTAATGCACTGCCGAGTTCACAAAGATCCTCTAGGTGATTGGGCTAGTGGATCCTGGTGGACTCAATGACCTTATGTACCAAGTTTTGAAAGGTGTTTACTAGCCGTGAAATACTGTCCATGACGTTACATATAGCAGGGTCAGTTGGCTCGTAACCGTCTCGCTCGATGTGGAAGACATGGCATTCGAGAAGTGGCGCGAGAGGCTGGAACAGCCGTGGATCTCGCGCTAGCGCGCCGTCGGCGCGATCCTGCCCAACCTCGAAGTCTGGTTGAGCCAGCGGAAGTGCGTCACTACGTTCCGGCTGACACAGATATTCACCGGGCACGGATGCTTCGGTGATTACCTGAATCGGATCGGACGTGAGTCGACGACGCAGTGCCACCACTGTGGGAGGAACCAGGATTTCGCCCAGCACACGCTGGAGGAGTGCTCCGCATAGGCCTCCGAGCGGAACATCCTGGTTGCCCGGATCGGGCGAGATCTCTCTCCGCCAGGCACAGTAGCGGCTATGCTGGCGGATCAAGAGTCCCATGAGGTAGTGGTCTCCTTCTGTGAAGCGGTGATGCTCCAGAAGGAGGTCGCCGAGCGGGATTGGGAGAGAGCCGATCCCGCTCGGCGGCGGCGTACCTTCGCGGCCGCGGGCGATCGGAGCGATGGCTCCGTTCGCCAGTAAGTTTGGCAGCCGCGTGGAGGACGACGGGGCGGTGTGACCCGTTTCGTCGTGAGGAGGGGAGGGGGAGGACGTAGCTCCTCCTAGGTGCTGGGGGGAGATGTCAGAATTGGGTGGCTCGTAACTGTGTTGGTTGACTAGGACAGTGTTGGCGTTTTATTGTTTATCCTCGTCAGTCGCTGCTAGCTCTGCTTGTAGTTCGATCTCGGCAGTGCTCCGCTCAAGCTCCAGCTTTTTCGTAGCCAGCTCTAGCTCTAATCGTGCGAGGTGACAAGCGTGCTGTGCCTCTGCTGCGAGTTTCCTCGCAGTAACCGGCGCTGAAGAGCGGCTTGTTCGCGATGCAACCGAGTTTGTACGTGTGCGAGTGGGCGCAGGTGCGATGGGTACGTCCATTGCTCTGTTATCTGTAGGCCCCATTTGGCTATCTGTACGAAACCCTGTCAACGCGCCAGGCACAATCGTAGCGGGAACATTACCTGAAAAATCCGCTTGGCCGTCGGCAATCAATCGTGATTGGCTTCGGGTTTTAGCCATTTTAAATATAATAAATTAGATAGCCAATGGCCACTGCAATTATATTCTTCACTGGTTCATAAAACTGGTGAAAAGGACCACATATACTTGGTGACGACTGTATATTATTATTGCCTAGAGGAAAAAAAGTTGAGCATCCAACTTCAATGCTAGACAATAAAGAAAACAAAAACAATATAATAAAAACAGTTTAAAAAGAATGGTGCTGTCGCGCACAAATGCCATTTCGATATATTAATAGTTTAGCTTAAAGTTGATCATATTTCAGTGTTATAAAGTATAATACGCGAAAAAAAATAGCCTGTAAATAATTAGGCTGAGAACACCGAATTGTGAGAATGGTCGATTTAGAGAAATTTAATAAATAATAGAAAATCGAAACATCTGAAAATCATGCGTCACGAAAAAAATTATCAAACGACGAACATTATTACACTACTGTGTGGAAGACATTATCTGGATATTCCAAAGATTCGCACGAACCGTAACGCTTCCACATTTATATGAACGAACGGCTATGGAGTGGAATTCCCTGCCTGCAGACTTGTTTCCTGAACGTTATAACTCGACTCTTTTCAAGGCGAGAGTGAATAGACATTATTTAGGTGTGCATGCTCCATCATCAACCTCATCGTCACTTTCCATCAGGTGTGATGGAGGTGAAATGCGCACTTATATTTTATAAAAAAATAATAATAATACTGCTGATTAGTTTACATTGCTCTTATATTTACATATGATGCTTACATTTTATAATAAAATTTCAGGATAGAGAGTAATCCAAATCGATTACCCATATTACCCATGAAAGACGTAGCTAAAGAAATGCAATCTCATTTAACTGAAGACACGGCATCAATTACGCCTCCAGAATTAAAAGTTCCTATGAAAGGTATTGTTTGTTTTTTGATGGTATGAAAAATTGTTTGTTTTCGATGCTCTTTTTACGTTTAAATTATTTTCGATTGCTATATTAAATTTATTGACATCTTTACCAAAAACAAATAGAAAAAGTAAGTGTAGTATAATATCTACGAGCAGATTTGTGACAGGTTTGTGTCACAAACTTGTGTTTTAGCAGGGTTAGTTATTACCTTTCTTTGATAATTATCATGATAGTTATCTGATAATTCGCCTACATATGTATATATATAATTATTCATGCTGATACATAGATTTGTCTCCTTAATTTTAGACTAGTTAAGGAGACCATTTTAGACTAAAATTAAGGAGACCAGGTAGGTAAGGTGGCAGTACTATTACTGCCACCTTACCTATTTCTGCCGCCAAACAGTAACATCAACATTACTGTGTTCCGGTTGTGAAGGATAAAGGTGCTGGTGAAATTACAGGCACATGGGACTTGTCAACTTATGTCTCAGGGTGACGGGCGCAGTGGCAGTGCCCCTCAGATCTTTGCGATTTATAGCTGCAGAGTGCAGTGCAGAATGGCACTGCAACTATTATGGACAGGCGTGTAGCTTACCACCAGGCCCCGACTTTTTCGTCCTGTCACTTAATATTACAATAAAAAAATGAAAATACTAAAATATTATTTAAAAAAAGACATTTATTAATTTTATTAATTGTTAAAATCAAATGCGTGCGCGTGAGCGTGTGTGTATGTTCGTGTAACTTCATGTATAAGATGTTCGTGTCTACACATATAAGATGTGAACGTACGAGAATTGTGTCCTTATGCTAGCATTATGTAATATTTGGTTCAAGTAGCATCAGTGATACTGCCTAATTGTACAAATGGATCAGAGGGCTTTGGAAGCGTGTCCTAAGTGGATAGTTTTCAACTGATATTTTGTGTACAACTGCAGTTTTTCGGATGTATATTGTTGTAATTTGTTGTATCCAAGAATCTGACCAGTCCACTGGTGTGTCGAATAGCGATTGTGCCGAGTCACAAACCTGTGGAATCCAAAATTTGTCCTATAGTGAACGAGAATTTGTCCTATACTGGGTCTTATTTCATTTTACAGTGGCAATAAAAGAGGCTGCGGATGTTTTGTCGGAAAGTTTTGCTTTAAAGAGTAAGAAACTGTTGTACTGTATTGTATACTTATACGGTAATAGCATTAACAAATATCGTGTAGTGTACATTAGCGGTCGAGTTTTACCTAAATTCATTAGCTTTCAAAATACATTTATGTACAATATACAAATGTAACTGCAGAATAAGCACTTAGTACAAGGTTCCGGCATCATTTATGTCACAAATAAATAAATACACTCCTGGGCAAATAATTCGAGCCACCTTGCATTTTTATCCTTAAAGGACTAAACGGTTTTTTAAATTCAAATTTTAAATAAGGATATGGAAATAACGTTTAGTCTACCAGTTTCAAATTCGCATAACAGCCTTTTTGAGCAATCAATCATTGTTTAAGCTAAGCATTTAATATTGAAAATAGAGGTGACTCGAATTATGTGTCCGGGAGTATATTAAACAATTACATTTTTTTTAACCGCCAATTAACGTGAATTTTATTATTATTTTTATAACGTAATTTACTTTGAGTATATGCTATTTACTTTTATAATTATGTGTTGACTGGATTTGGACTCAAATACAAATTACCGATGATAACATAATTTAATATTTACTCAGGTGGCATTGGTGGTGAAAAGTATGCACAGGCATACCAGGCAAATAAGAAAAAGCTGACAGGGGTTGATGATGCAGATGGGGCTTTGGTCGACGAAACTGGACGATCGTAAGTGGGCTTAAAATTGCATGAAAAAAGTAATAAAAATTAAAATATTTTGTTCTGCTTAAAATCAAGTTCAATAACGCACGATTGCACTACTAACACTAGACGTTAAAAAAGTCAACGATTCCTATTTTAACTTGTCTTATTTGTCGATTTCAGTATGGATGGTGCATCTTGTAAGTAGATAATTAACAATATTTTTTTTGCTTAATGACCTGGGCGCCAAGTTCGATATGTCCTCCAAAGAACACTACGCCAACAAAATTTTTGGACCTATTCAGTTTTTATTTTCTTTTTTGTTTCTATATTTTTTTTTATTTTGTTTGTTTCTTTTTTTTCACAAAATTCGGGGAGTATTTTTTAAACTTTGGTCCTCTCACGCCACATGATATAATGGCACAATTTATATTTCTATTTTTTCCACAAAATAATCATGTATCACATTCGAACGACAACAGACGCGCTGTTGACAATCATGTCACCGTCTGATCATAAACTAGGTAACGCGGACCCCGCCCACTAACCAGTATATTACTAGTATTTATGTGGTCTGTGCTGTCTACGAACATAATTACTTGAACAAACAAATTAGGAATGACGACTAAGTTAATATTACTAAATAACCGCCACCTTATATTTTGTGTGTATATTATCTGTATATTTGTACATATGTGTAAATTTTGTTGTTATTATGAAGCTTAGGTATATACTCCACTGGAGTTTGCACTTAAAATTTCATGTAGTTGCTTTATTAAAAAAACTGAGTGAAATTAACAAGCAAAACTAAAATTGAAACTATCTTTTATACATGATAAATAACCACAACTACAGTGCGTCCGATGACGCGCGTTTGCGTCGTCGCGTCGGCTCGTATACACGTCTCGTCGCCGCCGTCGACGCGTGTAAGTGCCCATACGCATAAGACCACAGTCTTAGGGTCGTATTCTAGAACTCTACTCAATGCTCAAGTCAGGATTTGAGTATGGTTTAAAGCACTCGAAATCGTACTCAAGTCCCTGCCATTACGGTCCTATTTCCAGTGCTTGAAATCATACTCAGATCCTGAGTTGAGCATTGAGTAGAGTTCTGGAATACGACCCTCAGACTCAGTTCGTTGCAATGTCATTTGTTTTTCGCAAATTTTAAAATTTCCCATAAGTGATTGGAATTGAGGGAGTTAATTTAAGTAAACTAAAGAATAACGTAGACTTTCCCTTCTAAAAGTCCCTGGACTTCTCGAACCTGATTATAGTTGAATACGCATATTATTTTTCCTATTAAGTATTTGCTACGAATTACTGTCTCAAAAATAATATTGTACTTGAGTTCATTAAAAAAATAAACAAGACAACCTATATTTTGAACTGTTTAGAAAATAAATACTAATAAAACGTTCGTACAGGTAGATCAACTCTTTCGATTCCGATCACTGGTTCCCATAAATAAATATATAAAATAAAAATGTTAAACCATTTGAGTATTTCAGGCTTTCGAAAAAATTTGCTTGAAAATCAATACACTTGTCAAGACTGGCAGGTGGCATACCTATGTTTTGTTCTCTAATCCTAGTTGTAGCATAAAACAGTAGTAATTATAACATTTATTTAATTACCTAAATGCTGACTACACAGACCACTTTATAACACCCGTCTCTCGTTTTCTCCAGAATATGATGATACATTTTAATTCAATGATGTCATTTTACGACCTGCATCGTATTTAGTTGACATGATATTAATAAGTGACATAGATCGCATTTGTAAAAAATCATAAGAAATTTCAACATCTAATTTAGATAAAATGTGGTTAATATGATATTTTTTTATGTGGCAGCTGAAGAGAAAAAACGAAAAATGTTGGCAGACTTCTTAAGAAGGGAAGGCTCCTCACCTCTAGGTGCGGAAGGCATGTATAAGATGACTTACAAGGAAGCTGCAGACGAGTAAGATTCTCTATTTCACAACATTTTTTGGTATTGAATTTATGTTGCAAGTCTAGTTGCGAGTTTTGTAGACTTAAAGAACCTATTTCGGTTATACAATACTGCATACGAAACGTAAATATTGAGGAGCGCCACCACTTCCAACTCCTCAGCCTTTGTATATGATATTGATGACAATAAATTTATTTCAAAACGTAGAATGTCTCTCGGCTCTAAGGGTCGTATTCTAGAACTCTACTCAATGCTCAAGTCAGGACTTGAGTATGATTCGAAGTACTAGAAATCACACTCAAGTCCTTGCCATTAGTGTCGTATTTCCAGTGCTTGAAATCATACTCAAGTCTTCTCAAATCTTTACTTGATCATTGAGTAGAGTTCTGGAATACGACCCTAAGACTTGCTTTTGAAGGGCAACAATTATTTTGGTTTACTTCAGGTTTTTTTAGTGTGTGATGATATATGAGATGATGAGGATAGGTACATAAATTTGTTACGAATTTAAAAAAATCGTAAATAGTAAAAGTATTGCTTTAAAAAATTAGGTTTTATTTCTCCTAATTAAATTAGGTTTTATCTTGGCTTGCCGCTTCTCTACGAAGATTGGCGACCATCATGGCCATCCCTATTTTTGAAACTGCCGCATTCTTTTATAGTTGTGAGTATTTCCAGCTGTTTCCCCGTTCGACGCAGAACATTGGTGACCCTTTGGACTCAAGATGTGCCAAGCATACTTTTATATAGCCACGTCTCAAGAGCCTCTGTGCATAATGCTGAGGTCAAGGTCCAATCCTTTATACTAAAAAGCAAGATACTGAAGGTATAACAGTCGACCAATCGCAAGCGGCGTTTAAGGTTGAACTTACTGGAGTCTTAAAGACGATCATATTTAGTGTTGATTTTAAGCCATAGTTAGGTATTACTGGCTACATTTACACGACCCAGCAGTTTTTGCAGGTCCGCGATATGCTCCGCAATTAATATTGTACCATCTGCGTAACGAATATTATTAATAACTTCTCCTGTTCATGACCATACCCTCTTCGGTTTCATGTACACTCTTCCAATATTCTCTATGCAAAAAATCAAATAAAATAGGTGATAGGTGGTAGGAAACACCCTTGTCTCACACCACGTTTGATCTCAGTTTCTTCGGATAATTGATCTTCCTCTTTTACCATGCTTTCTAAGCGCAGTACTGATTGGTTGTAACTCCTGTCAATTCTATTATGTCCAATATGTACTTTCCATGACAGTTGCTGCTCGTGAGGAATAATACGATGGTTTCCCCTTGCCTTCCCTATTGTAGAGACAGGACTACGTCGATGCGCCCATGTTTATCTGGTCAAAAACCCTAATGACGTTTTATGCCTTGCCTGTCTGCCCTCAACCTGGTTCGCCTATTTAGATACGACGCTAACTCGCCACGTCACAAAGGTCGTCATTAGACATGTAAGTACTTTATAGTCCCAACAAGATTACCAATACGCCCTTATAACCATTACCAACGTTTGGTCGGGGACTGGTTATTCAGTAAATTCGCAGCTAACAACCATATCTGGTGCATGTTCCACTATCCGTCACATGTGATCCCCATCGGTAGCCAATAGATTAGCACCAACAAGGTTTTACAAGAGGTAAAATAATTATATCAAGGACTACGGCCTAAACCCTTTCGAAGAACCCTGAGAAGAGACCCGTGCTCAGCAATAGGACGTATAAATGGGTTGATGATCATGATGAATTATTTCTGCATTCCAGACTGATGAAAGCACAGAAAGGAAAAACAGCCGCACAAGACCAAAAGAAGCAGGCTGAATTACATGGAAAAATTAACCTCAAGATACCGGACGAAAAGGCTAAGGAATTGTTACAGGGTTTGTTATACCTATACCTTATCAAATAAAGTATTATAACTCGATCTATTTCTTTCTTTGAAAGCGTGTTGATTCACTCATGATACACTATAATTTAGCGGGAAGTAGAATTTAGCTGCCTAAATGAATTTTAGTGTGGTAAATTCATTATAATTATTTATTTGTGAACACACAGGTTGTATAGAAGCTGACACTGGTGTACATTAGTTATTTGTTATGCAAGGCGGAAAAGTTGTTGTTTGACGTGAGTGCTTGTATTGAAACCTGAGCAAGCGAAGGATTCTTAGATTGTAAAACAGAATCGTGAGAGCGTAGCGAGGGTTTCAATACACGAGACACAAAACAAGTTTGCTGCCGTGGGAAACACACAACTTTAGACCTCAGTATATCGAGGAAAATGGGAGATGAAAGAAGAACTGTTGAACTATAAGAAATCAGTTTTAATAAACAAAATTAGTTACCGTTGTAGGCATTCTGATATTATATTTTATGTTATGTAATGGGGGGTAGTTTAAAGTTTGGAATATAGAGATTAGTTTCGACTCAGCTATCGTATTTGATCAACATATCCTTGCACCCTTACTTTGACATGGCGTAGTCGGTTAAAATTATGCATTAATATTTAAAAATACATTTCATTTATAAAATAAATAATAATAATAGTAAAATATAATATTATAAATATAATAAAGTCAGTGGCGTTTAGGTAGTGACAATAAAAAGCAAAAGTGAAAAAGTGATTACAATGGAATCAGTGCTTCACCCTCCACAGCCATTTAGCTTTGAAAATAATTTAGCCAACGTAACTTCGGGAAACTTAAGCAGAGATGGGAGAGATGGAAGAAATCATTCAATATTTATTATGATGCTTGTGAACTCTCAAAGAAGGAAAGCAAAGTACAGATAAATATACTGTTACACGTCATTGACGATAAATGTTGCGAGGTCTACGAACAGTTTGAACGAGAAGTCAAGACAATAAAAGAATTGTTGAAAAAATTTGATGCGTTTTTTATACCTAAAAAGAATTTGGCGGTAGAAAGAGAAAAGTTTTTAAACGAGACCAAAAAGAGTACGAATCTACGGAACAATATGTTCGAATTAAATAAGATGGCGGTTAGATGCGAATTCAAATTTAGTGTGCATTTATTAGGATTTAGTGGCAGCAGACTAATATGCGGACTAAAAGATGTCACTCTGTCCGAAAGATAATTGAACTGAATAATTAATAAATCGAGTGAACCGGAGATAACGCTACAGAAAGCATTATTGGCTCAAATGTCCCGTTTGCACAAAAACCGAAAACGCTGGAGCACCAGGCAGCACGGCACCGTCCACGCCAGCCAGCTTACAATATCACTGCTACTACCGCGTCGAGACTATGTTGTTACCGATCGACATCATCGAGGCTGCGGTAGTTTGTGAGCGAGTACATCGCAGAAACGAATGCCCCGTGTACAGCCAGCGATGCGTGAAATGTGATCGTATGAACCATTACGCGAGAATGTGCAGGGTCTACGTGGTTCAGCAGGATTCCACCGTTCAGGTGAGTCAGCGCAGTTTTGTTAGTGACGATTGGCTTTTAGAACTGTGTATAAATAAAGTTTTATTAAAGTTTAAACTCGACACTGGAGCTGACGTTAATGTATTGCCGCGTAAATATTTGAGTAAAATTAATGTGTCACGAACGGAACAGTGACAGCAGTCAAGTTACAGGGATATTCGGGTAGTGATATAGCGGTGGTAGGAAAATGCTACTTAAAAGTGAATTACAAGAATAAAGATTATTTTTTGCAATTCATAATCGCAGACGTCCACTCACCACCGATTTTAGGCAGAAATTCGTGCGAAGAATTAATATTGATAAAAAGGATTTGTTCTTTAAAAAGTCAAGTAAATAGTAGCGAGAAAATATTGGACGAATATCCTGATGTTTTCATAGGAATGGGTTGTTTGCCAGCTGAATATAAGATACAAATTAGACAAGACGTGTCTCCGGTGGTACATGCACCTAGAAAGTTGCATATAGCTCTGAAAGACCATATTAAAAACAAATTAATTGAGATGGTAAGAGAAGGTATAATATAGCAAGAGTTGAAGGACCCACGGACTGGGTGAATAGTATGACCGAGGTAAAGAAAGCGATCGGTGACCTTCGCATAAGTCTTAATAGTAGTTAGATTGCAAAGCAAGGGTTTTGGCAAATGAAACTACATCCTAGTTGCACTGATTTATGTATTTTTAATACTGTATTCGGGAGGTATACATTTCTAAGAATGCCGTATGGAATTTGTTCCTCATCAGAAGTCTTCCATAAACGCTTGTATGAGCAATTTGATGATATAGAGGAGGTAATTTTGTTTGTTGATGATTTGCTAGTATACGGTGAAACAAAAGAAGAACACGATCAACGATTGCAAAACGTACTAAAACGATGTCAAGATATTATTATAAAATTAAATAAAGAAAAATGCAGAATAGGATTGACTGAAATTAAATATCTGGGTCACAAAATTACAAAAAACGGTATATATCAGGACGATTCCCACATTACGGCAATCAAAACACGCCAACACCCCAGAATGTAAAAGACGTAGAAAGGTTCTTGGGTTTAGTTACATATGTGAGAAATTTTGTGCCTAAGTTGTCGGAAAAAACAAGCGTCTTACGCGAATTATTAAAAAAAACATATAGAAAGGCACTGGGAAAGTAGGCATGACCAATGTTTTGAAAATATAAACCAATGTTTAGTGAGCCCGCCAGTATTACAGTTTTATGATATCAAAAAACCAGTAACTATATCAGTCGATGCAACTAAAAATGGACTAGAAGCTTGCCTAATGCAAAGTAATCTACCTGTATGTTATGCATCAAAGTCGTTAACAAAAACGGAACAGTCATACGCGCAAATAGAGAAAGAACTGTACGCTTGCGTTTACGCTTGTGAAAAATTTTATACTTATATCTACGGACGAACAGATGTAACCATCGAAACGGACCACAAGCCTCTAGTGAGCATAATTAACAAACCATTAGCCTGTGCACCCGCTCGTCTACAGAGAATGTTGCTACAGCTACAGCCTAATACATTCAAACTAATTTATAAGCCTGGAAAGTATTTGTACATAGCACACGCGTTATCGCGTGCAGTAGCACCGACCGCTGACCTCTCTCTGTCAATTCCGCGCGATCACTTTGAAATGCAGAAGCAAGTATGTGTCATAACGCCTAACAATCCTTTAACCGATACGCATTTTCTAGAAATACAAAAACATACAAACCAAGATTGTGAATTACAAGAACTAATAAAAATTATAAAACGAATGATTATCACTAGTATCAGGGTTTCTTACCACGGTATGACTTCTTTTTATTTTCCCGATATTTCGGAACGGTTGCACGCTCCATGGTCACGGGTTGACTGGACGGCGGCAGATGACAGCTTTATGAGCAGACATATCTGTCTACCCTTTTGCGCTGTCGACGACTACCTTCATCGCGATTTGTTGTGGCTTTACCATTGTCACTCACTTTTTTCACACAAACCACACTCACTGTATCCACACGCGAAACTGAACTCGAGGTGTTTTTGTTTTTATTACTGCACGCACTAAGGACCGGATTCCATGCACTGGACAGTTTAAAACCATCATCACGGTTAAATGTTTTGTACTTCGTGATCTCGATGGCTTCTCGTACCAACCGTGGTATGTAGTGACGTTCTATCGAGAGTACCTGGGGGCTATGCAACTCGATCCAGTGGTTAGTGTCAGTCTGTGTGAGATGTTGTGCTATAGCCGACTTCTGTGCATCATTGTACTGCTCGGATGTGTTCCTTCATACGATCGACAATTGTTCGTTTAGTCTGACCGATATACGAGCTCCCACAACTGCAGTTCACTTTATAGACACCCGGTGTTTGTAAAGGAAGGTGGTCTTTTGGTGAACGTAACATTTTTCTTATTTTGGTTAAGGGGGTGAAAATAGTTTTTATGGAAAACTTCCTTAGCGACCTGGCTATTTTATCTGCCACCCCTTGTACATAGGGCAGAAAAACTGGTAGTCTCTGTACGTCAATTTGCTTCTTCCTTTTGTGTATTGGTTTAAATGTTTTTATTTTGTATCCATTCTGTCGCAAAACCGTCTTAACGTGCTCCTATTCCTGTGGTAGGTGGTGTGAATCACAAAGATCATAAGCTCTATTGTTTAAGTTTGTTGAGTGTCTTTTCACAAACGTACCAATAAAGGAGTGTATCGACGTTATCAAAGTGAAACTTCAAGAATGCAAAAATGCAAACTTCGGGCACGTGAAATCATGTATTAGCCGAATATGAATACTCAGTTACAAGATTACCTAAAACACTGCCAAGCATGTCTCTCGTACAGGAAAGAAAATGCTAAAGAACCATTGATATCGCATGATATTCCTAACAGCCCGTGATGCAAAGTAAGCACTGATATTTTTAATTTCGGTAGGGTATCCTACATTATAGTTGTCGATTATTATAGTAAATTCATAGAAATATCAAAGTTAAATTCATTGATTTCAAAAAGCGTAATTAAAAAATTAAAACAAATATTTTCTAGACAAGGAATTCCAGAAAGAGTCATGCCAGACAGTGGTCCAGAATTTTCATCCAATGAGTTTATTGATTTATCACATAAATGGAAATTTGAGCACGTAACGTCATCACCTAGGTATCCTCAATCGAATGGCCAAGTTGAGCGTGCAATTCAGACAATCAAAAATATAATAAGAAAAACTGCATTCGAACAAGCTCATTTTAATTTAGGATTGCTTGAATTTTTGAACACACCGACAAGCACTGAAAATCCAACTCCAGCAGAATTACTTAACAACAGAAAACTTCATAGTATAGTTCCATGCACACCAATTTTATTACACACAAAGGTACAGGAAAACGCTGTAAATAACAAAAAGAGCGTGTGCGAAAACACAAACAATATTATGATAAAAGCGCAAGAATCCTTACACTAAATGTAGGTCAAAAAGTTAGTAGTAGAATGTTTAATTAATCGTTACCAGGTGGCATCGCTGGCTTGAGGTCATACAATCATAAACACAAATATCAATGTTACATAGTGGTCATGAAATAAATCGAAACAGAAAACATCATAATAGACTCAAATCGAACACATAATTCGCTAAGTCTTGAACCATGTAAATACGATGACATAACAATAGACACGCCGACGATGCCAACGACTCCAACAACGACAAGTGAACCGGTTTGCAGTTGATTGCAATCAACTGATAACATAGGCAATGACTGTGTCTGTGACACAGTCATTGCCTCATCAATGACTCGCTCCGGAAGGACAGTGCGGCCTCTTGATCGGGGGGGCTATACGTGGCTGCCACTAATGCGTGACATAGAGGAAAGTGTTATAGTGAAAAATAAATAATATGTATATTAACACTGAAGGAATTAAACACAAATAGATATATTTTTATACAAGTATACAATTACACATAAGCAATAGTAATTTAATCAATTCAACTTTATTGTGACATGATAAAGTTGGTGTATGCATGTATTATGAATATCTAGTAAGCATGCTATTTTAAATTTTGTTATAATTACAGTATAATGCATTGTATGTTGAAAAATAGGATAAATTATTTTATTGTTATTATTAATATTAATTGAAATTGTTAATTTACGCTTATTATTATTATTTAAAAAGGGGAGTTGTAGGTATTCTGATATTATCTTATATGTTATGTAATGGGGGGTAGTTTACAGTTTGGAATATAGAGATTAGTTTCGATTCAGCTCTCGTGTTTAACTTATCCTTGCACCCTGTACTCAATCTTTCAATCGTTGTCAATTTAATGTCAACAATAATAAGAATAAAATATACCAACGCATTTATATTACATAAATTATGTACAAGAAATCGCATAGTTGAACGTGTCAGGTTTTTTTATCCATCGAAAGAAAAAGTTAGGTGCGCCCATTGACTTTTTTTTATATATAATATAAATGGGTGCGCCACAGTCTTATCAATAAGTTCGAATTTCGAAAACCTAGCATTAATAAAATGCTTATGCGCGCATATTTCTAATTTCTAATGAGAAAGAAAGCCTTTCCGAACTAGTGAGATGAAAAATAAATTGTTAATTGTTTTTTAAATAATTTTTTAAATTCTTATCAGACCTTAGATTCTCAGACTCTCGGTAAAGTATTGTAAATTTTTGAATTGTCACAAAAACACTTTACTGCAACAATCCTAGGCATTCCCTTATTGTGCAGCAAATGTGCATTTAGAGGTAATTTTAATTATTGTATACTTTACAGATACTACCACCGAAGGAGCCGCTCATATAGCTGACGTCATAAAGGGTCGTGGTACGTGTCATAATTTATTTTGGAAACAAAAGCGGAACCTTATAAGATGCATATTATAATATGCATCTTAAACAATCTCTCCAATAACAAATGGAAAGTCATTATGTGGGACGCAAAGTCAGGTATTAAGTACTTATGGTTTTAGAGCAGTAGGTACATAGCACAGCGTGTATGCAAGGTGACGCCATGGCGAACCTCCAATGAACACTACGCCAACTTTATTTTTGGACTTGTTCTGTTTTTATTTTTTATTTCTTTTTTTCCCCACAAAATTAGTGGTTTGTTTTTCGAATTTTGTTTTTTGTTACTTCATTTTTTATTTTCCGAATTCTGTTTTTGTAACTTCAATTTTTTTCTCAACATTCGGGGAGCGTACATAAATAACAAAATTATCAAAAAATAAAGGTGGCGTAGTGTTCATTGGAGATATCGATGGTATAATAATAATAAGTGAGTAGGGTAATTCCCATGTAATTCCATACAAACGTAGCCATACGGCTTGTATGTATGCATAGTCGCGGCACGCCTTGTGCGAATTATGCGAATTTTGGACGCAACCATTCGCATAATTCGTAGAATTGAAGCGTTCGCTCGCGCATTAAAAAATTATATCAAACGTATTAATTGTTGTTTTAATGGTGGTATGAACAAGAGTGTGACTCAAATTCAGAACTGTTCAACATTTCATTTATATTTCGTAATCATACTCCCATAATCGAGGTATGCTATAAAAATATCAATACGGAAGTACTGCATTAAACAAAGGTAATTTAAATATAGCACGAGAATACTATCATGAACCCTTTTTTTAAATTCTATTTACAAGCTGTAGGTCCAACTAAAATAATGTGACAACCTTAGAATAATAACGCATAGAAACCTAGCCCGCACACGCTAAGTGAAGCAAGTTAGAGGGTTCCAAACGCGTCCCAGGAGCGCGCGGGCTGTTAGTACTCAAGGTCATATTGCACCGCGAACAGCTCCAAAATTTTTTGCTAAAAATGACGAAATGTGCGGTAAATGGGTGTAAAAATACAACAGACAAACAAAATAGACACTAACATCGCATTCCACAAGTAAGTAATGCGTTTCAACTCATATTTTTATGTAAATATTCACTAAAACAGAAAAATAATTTCGCGGCAACAAGATACGAAAGTGTTGCAAAGTAACGAATTTTTTTTCTCCCCATTTTGCTATTCTGTATCAAAATAATTATATTACGTAAATTTTAGTGGTGCCTGTAATTTCGATTTATTTGCGCATTTTGAACTAATATTTACTCGAATAAACATTAAATGTTTTCGTTAACTCCTGTAAGTGATTGGGACACTTAATTATTTTATAATACTTTTAACGGCTCTGCGTTCACGCTTTATTGAATAATTATTTATATTAATTTTATTTGAATTGGAGCACATATTGCAACAAATTTACAGTATATATTTGTTTCTACTATAGTGTTGGCACCACCAGTACAACTTTGATAGCTTATTATATGTCTTTCTTTTCGTAACTCAAGCGAAATATTTTATATTAAAATATTTTATTTTCTTAAAAGGGGAGCATTCTTAAGCGATTTTTTAATCTATTTTAACAGTTATTTTCTTTAATGTTTGCTTATGGCATTTTCGGTTTTAGGTTTCGAATATGGCACTTATTTCTAAATCCAAGATGGCGGGCGCGATTTTTCGAATAATGGCAAGTTGGGTATCGTTTTCGAGATGTTTGGGAATGTTCAATACAAATATGGGACTCATTTCTAAATCCAAGATGGCAAACACGACAGTTCAAACAAAAGCAATATTCGTAATGAGCACCCCCAAATACCTCGAAAACGATACCCAACTTGTCATTATTTGAAAACTCGTGTCCGCCATCTTGGATTTAGAAATGAGTGCCATATTCGTAATGAGCATCCCCAAATACCTCGAAAATGATACCCATATTGCATTTATTTGAAAACTCGTGTCCGCCATCTTGGATTTAGAAATGAGTGCCATATTCGTCATGAGCACCCCCAAGTACCTCGAAAATGATACCCATATTGCATTTATTTGAAAACTCGTGTCCGCCATCTTGGATTTAGAAATGAGTGCCATATTCGTAATGAGCATCCCCAAATACCTCGAAAAGGATACCCATATAGCATATTTTGAAAAAACGTGTCCGCCATCTTGGATTTACAAATAAGTGCTATATTCGTTTTTCATCGACAAAACCGAGCATATCTGTAGGCACCTGATCGACATTGTCGGGCAAATCTGTAGGCACCTTTAACTTAATGATGAGTTAAGCAAGATACAATTTCCCCACTTTTGAGGGAAATGTTATTCCATGGCATCATTATTTGTATATTTGTGTGCGTGCCGACGAGCGTAGTTACAAGTTGCTTACGCCTACATGAATTTGGTTTTTGCCTCACTTGTGACAGTTCGTTTGATATGAAACTATCCTTCTATGCGTTATTATTCTAAGGTGACAACCCTATACACTTCCAGCGAAGTGTAGGCATTGCTGTGCCCAACAAGCGGGAGTTGCCCTTATGCCATATACTTGTCTATACTATGGATGCAGTGCCCAAGGATCGCACGCAGGCAGTACACTGTTGCTGTAAAACCAGACTCACTAATTGTGATATATTTTAGGTGAAGCCATGGAAGCCATTCACCAGAAAATGAAAGAAACAGGCAACGCACAGCTTGTGGACGTAGGCGGAGTTAAAAAAAGTTACAAAGAAGGCGCGGAAATGTATGACTAATGGTTTTATATCTTTTAATCCTATTATTATTCATATTATTTATACAAAAATCGAGCAAAAGAAAAATTCCTAAGATTCGATTAGACTCGAACCACGCTGTCCGTACCACCAACGTGGTTATCTGAGCAACAAATCGAGCCAGCAGATCTTAAGAATCTCTCTTCGTGCAAGCTGCGGATCTTTGTATTGGGTTTAAGGGCTTTTTGGCGTAGTAAAAATAGATGAATATCATGGTAATAAAAACATCATGATATTCCAGCAACATTTTATACTCAATTATCTCATATACTAGTTACAATAATTTGGCCATTTTTTGTAATTTTCTGCAAAGTAGAAGCAAGCATCTGTTATTGCATAAATTCGAATTCGAAACGTAAAAAATCGACTCAAATTTGTGACACGGTAGTTTAGTTTATGTTCGAGTCTCATGTTAGTTCTATTTAAAATTTGTCGTAGAAATGTATAAAGCGTAATTGCGTCTATATGTACAAAAATGCTTAAGTATTAACTACTCTTGGGTTGTAGGTTAACCCAGGCTCGAACATTTGTACCAGATGCTGCACCACCAAGTGTTGCTAGCGCGGTAATAAAAAACGTCGAGAAACTTGAAGCTACACCAAAATCAGCACTAGGACAAGAACATTTAAAAGGTCGGTACTAGTGCTCTGTATATTGTCTTAACCGTTTAACTGCCTCCGTGGCCGAACGGGTACCCAGTCTGAATAGAATCAATCTAACTATCACCCTTTTGCTGCAGATACCCAGAAAATTGTGGGCGAGTATATTGCCGGTCAAGTTGCAAAAGAAAGTAAGCACTATATTTGCATTGCAATTAATTATGAATTATTATTAATTTTATAGTCAATAAAAACACTTAATCAGCGTCGGAGAAGGGTGGTTCTTCAGGTTAGACGAATTTCCATAATAAATGCAATGACTTTGTCTGCATGCATAACCGCTTAATCATCAAAACTTATACCGATGCCACACGATGCGTCGGCGGCGTTACGACCACAAGTTTGAAAGATTTGTTGCGACGACTGAGCGATGACGTTGCGTTGTACGCATAAATTAGAATTACATGCCACATAGTGCGTTGAAATGGCGCGGACAAGGGGCCAGATGACGAAGCGGCGAAGGGTGCTACGGTACGTAATTAACATTAACACGATACGACTTCGTACTGTGTTTATGTGTAAGAGCCCTTACGTGTGGCATTCGGTGCGTTGAAATCATCGGGCAGCGCTAGTGTGGCATCGCTCATACACGCCTTCAACGTTTAGTAGGATAGATAGCATCACAAGTCATTTAATAGACTACTCGGTCGATAGTGGAATGTCATTTTGTGGCCTTCGTCAGTTGTGCGTGATAGTTGTAGTGGTTCAAGGTTGCATTGGACTACGACTCTTGTCGTAAACCACATAATCCTACGATTAATTTAACCGGATAGGGAGGCATTTACATGGTGCCTGAGTGTTTCACCAAAAATAGACCTACTATTTATATTGAATTTTATTGGGATTTTTAAATTGTAATTATATGTATATAATATTACCGGCGCACCAGGTGCCGCCACAGCTAGAGTCGGCGCGCCCGGGGCCCGTCCATCTGGAGCCGGCGCAACCAACGTACCCGATGCCGGCGCTCCCGGGACCGGAGCAGCCGGGGCCGGGGCACCCGAGGTTGGTGGGCCTGGTGGTGTCGGACTAGGGGCCGGTGCTTCTCGAACAAGCGGACTTGGTGGATCAGGTACAGGGTAAGCGACGAGTTTAGCTCATTTTCATCAAGGGATTCCCTGCATGCAGGCTGAATGACTTTGTTTGTTTTTCAAATGGAACTATTTTAATTTGTTCTTCTGCGAACCCAGTGGAGGTTAAATCGTAATAAATAGCTGCGCTTGTGTTGAATATTGTTTTTCATGCAGTTAATTTTCCCACCTTCCCTCTGCATAAAATTAATAAAAAAATATACCCGACACGTGTTTCGCCTCTCCATGAAGCGAAACATCCTCAGATTGTTCGACACTCGGTAGACGAATGAGCTCGCTCAGAACAATTAGTCATATTCATATTCCACTACTCCCAGTGTTACCATTGTCAAAATTTGAAAATACCCGCAACAACGATGATATATGACGCAACATTCATTTGTTCATTTATTATACTTGTATCATTCCCATTCATAGTATCTAATTATTTCTTTATTAATTTATTTTATTAGACGTAGTCCTTTTTCGCAGAAATGTAGCAAATTAATTTACTTCCATTTTTATTAACATAAACTTTCGCAAAGTAACGCCTGAATGTATTAACTATTTGTTTCTTTATTTGTTTTTGGAGAATCAACAATAATAACAAAAGACGCGTATCGGGTTCTTAGGTTTTCGCGATTGTTACACATAGAAAATGAAACTATTTTTCCGGATTTAAATCACGTATATTTGTTTTTTCAACAGTCAA